ATTTAGACATTTATTCACATGGCAATCTCATTATACACTCTTTAAAACATCGGATGGCTAAGTTATTTAATGGATTAGACTATTAGACAATTTCTGACGTATTTTCTTTGAACAATAATATGGATGCTACTCACAGAGGACTAAACATCGAGACTTTCCTTTAATATCGTAGGAATGGTACTTGACAATCGAGAATAAAATTGTCAACGTAACTGAATGAACACGGATTTAAAATTCTTGAACACAATCGCTTCACAATAAGTCCGCATGCAATATACCTAGTAAATAAACATTTGGATACAAGGTAAGTGTATATAAATCTATTACAACACGTTTAAACTTGTCAATATTTGAAGTTGCGAGTCGATTATTGCATAGTATTTATATATGTATATAGACGTCACAGCGTGCAGGTGGATATATTATTTACGGGGTGCTCGACTGTCAGTTCAGGTTGCTCTGAATTACACGGAATTGCAATCGAGAGACACTGAAACAGATGTGGCGTGATCAGCACAGTGAGGTCAGCAAACGTTTCAACTGCGGCGATTGGTAGAGCTGATATCATATTCAATTTGCACACGCCTCGTCGACCGAAATTCTAGCGTTTATTCGATTCACACCTTTCAACATTCTGGAAGGTTCAAATCGGGGATTCCAGTACAACAAGTTACAACGTAGGCCCTTTCAATCCACAGGGACCCGATAAAATTTGGTACGTACGTGATAGCTTCTGGTATAAGAACTTCTTAACAACGACAATGGGTCTCCAGGCTAAAAGTTAGGGCCTCTTCCAAGTTATATCAGACACTGATTTTTCTTTTTAACACGACGTCTGTTTAAACTAGATTCCCCTCAACTCACACAACATGGCGTATTTCCGTCTTCATTAACCCAATGTGAATTGTTTAAAGATCTTGAACTCCGTGGTACTGTTTTATAGAAATACAAACGTTGATCCTCTGGAAAACTGTGTCGGTTAATTTATCGAAACAAAAGTTGTAACCGGCCGTTACGATTATCAAATCACTTATAGAACTCGAATTTCTGAAATCTCTTAAAATAAAGGGCTAATTTTACTCCATTATTAATCGTTTGATTCGTGCAAACGGACAGCCTGTGAAACTTCACCTTGCTACAATCAACTCCTAAAATGCATACTAAAATTAAAACACAAATTAACCTGACTGTGGGTATTTCTTGATATTAATGACTAATTTCTATTTGTAGCTACAGAAAAACCCCTTCTTAATTCGACAGGTAAATACGCAACAAAAAAAGCATTAAGGTATGCGGAACATTGAGCCACGGTCGTTACTGGCCTGGGGTTCAGGTGACAGATCCCGATGATTGCCAAAACAGTACCTCGGGCTAATGAAGTCTTGCATACGCCAAGCAGTGTGCTATAAAGGGAGCTAGCTCTTATTCCGAAATCTGTCAGTGGACCTTTTACGTGCTCGTCAATGTGCCTGTGTTTTTCTTCCCATCCGAACGACTGGACACTAGTTGTTGCCAGATCATCCGTCCTGCACCACTAACAGGGGGAAATGACGCTGATGAATCCCGGGAAATGACGTTCTCGCCAAACACCTGCACATCCTAGTTAGTGAGCCAGCACCTTACTCTCTGGCTCCCCTTGGGATTACAATAAAATTGAGACCATTTTAACAAAACCTAAGGGGAGCCACGGTGGCTAGGTGGTTAAGACGCTGGCTCACTAGCCTGGAGGTCGGGTGTTCGATCTCTGCATTGGCCGAGAAAGTTCATCGGGATTTTCCGGCGTGGTTTCCCCTTGTCAGTGGTGCAGAAAGGAGGGCCTGACAATGACAGCTGTCTAGTCCTTCGGATGATACGAAAAACCGAGGTCCCGTGTATACATTGGAATGCACATAAAAGATCCCTTGGCAGTTGGAATGCGATATGAGAGTAGGCGATAGTGACGCTGCCCGGGCAAAATTTCCCTCATAGCACACTGTATGACGTATGCCCGTCTTCATTAGCCCAGTATAGGAGCAGAACAGTAGGACGTTTGACTCCATTTCATTTCATTTCATTTACAACACTTAAGACTTCTGTACGCAAAGTAACTAGTATGCCGCTTTGATTTTGGGTTTACCCTATTTCAGCGATTTCAAGATTTGTTTATTTAACATGTAACTACGGACGTGCAAACAATAATAGGCATTATGTTTCGGTTAAGTCATCCAGAACGTACACTATGCCGCACCTAAATTTCTAGAAAATCATCACGCGGGTCCAATTATTTCCCCGTTATCTTGTACAGTTACATACGATTGGCAGTTATCCAATTTAAATAATATATACTGGGTTTCATTTCTTGTTTAATATCGAATGTTTTTGTTTCATTTACACGCGGAGAATATGATCTACATGGCATGGTTCTTAACTATTAGTAAGGTATGTACTAAAAGACAATACAGCTTGTATCATCCGGTTAAATTTCTATGTTGGCCGAGTAGGTTCCTCGGGCAATCTGGTTAAAACACAGATCCTATTTCGTTTCGTTTTTATAGTTCAAAATTTCGTTTTACTTGTCTTTACTACACTTGGATCTGGAAGAGTTGTTATTTAACTCGTGTTCTGAATGGTGTCAGGGATAAGCCAATGAAACGGTCTGTTACGTCGAGCTTTAGGCATGTTTTGTACGGAACTGTGGGTAATCCACTAGTAACATCAATGCTGATTGGTTAATCAAATGTCTGACGCCATAGGTCATAAGTCGGTCTTTTGACCCCTGACGTGACCTATGGCTGAAACTTGTCAGATCTTCATGTAGTGTAGGCCATCGAAAGTATAAAAAACGAAACGAAATATAGATCTGTATTTTAATCAGATTGGTTCCTCGGGTATTTCCGGCGTAGTTTCCTCTTGTCAGAGGTGTCGGATGGCGTATAGTTATTCGCGTGGGACGAAAAATCGAGGTCCCGAGTACACATTGGCGTAAACGTAGAAAAAGAGTTTGAAGTCCGTAGCGCCGCTGCCCAGGTAAAGTTTTCCCAATAGCACACTGCATGGCGTAAGCCCGTCTTGATTACCCCATTCCGTGTCAAAAATGCGATGTTAAACTCTATTGTATTCTGGCTGATTCCCAGGGCCTATTTTAAGGTTTTATTGACGAAGCACGGTTTCCGGAGATGGAAGTGTTTTGATTGCCCCCTCCCCCCCCCCCTTTGGGTTCCGACAAAATTTCCAAAACGTGACTCACGATTTTCCACACAGAACTTGGTAGCTCAATTTAGCTTCTTCCATCGCCGTTATTAGCTTTAATGTGTTGGAATAAACCTTCTAAAATCGTGACCAATTAGTTTTGACCAAAACAAAGGCCCATCAGAAGTGAAATAAAAACTTCCTGAATTATCACCACGCTTACAGTTTTATAACAAAACAAGCGGTTGGCATACACGATACGCCGAGATTCTGTAAGATATGGATAGAGAACAGGGAAAATCGATAGGGCTCAACCTCTCATTGTCCCAATGCTTCACATCGAATATGAAACTGTAGCCTATATCGCGTTCACAAGGTTTTTGGCAAAGTTTGGTAACTCGATGGGGTTTGTCGTCTCATGACCCCAATGCTTCACATCAAATGTGAAAAAATAAAACACGGTTAAAACGCAAGCCCCTGTCGCTTCCACAAGGTTTTCGAGGGGGCTTAACTCTGGAACAGAAGGTCGCGGAATGCTGATTATCGATATGATTCTTGCTCCCGTGTTCTCAATTCATCACAATATAAAGCTCACAATCTTTGTTACGCTGTTTGTATGTAAGGCCATAATCCAAGCAGATGCACCAAAATCGAATTCAACCAAGATCTTTTGATCCTCAACATCTAAAACGGGCCAAAATTGAGGCCTAAATTAAAATTTGCATAATATTGACATTTGTATCTATAGCTACGTATCGGTATCATTGGCAGTCCAAAGAAACGCCCAAAAGCAGACGAACCTTTACTGTAACATGCAGCTGACTACTTGCGTCAACAACAGCTTTATTTTTCGACATTTTCATACAATCCACGAAATTGAATCGAAACCAAACGCAGTGATTGATGATCACAGTGATTGTTAATGACACACTTGCTAAATTTCCTCATGCAATCTTTTCAGATTCACAAGGATACATAACATACCATGATACCATCTTTTCAAAGCATGAATTTTAGATTCTCGAAGCACGGATTTTTCATCTCGAGGCACGTCCGTGTCTGTAGGCACGTTAAAATAGGCCCTGCTGATTCCCCCTTTAATTACCAGTGAAAGCATATCGGTATATATTTGATTTTTATTCTGAATCACTGTTCCTTATTCATTGTTATTTCATTGTGTAAATGTATCACGAAATATTGAAAAATGTTCTCTACAAGCTGAAATAGTGTATAATAAAAATAGGATAACGGTTGTTAAAGGGGGGCATTAGCCATTGTCATTTTACGCCCACATTTTAGTGTGAGCGTATTACGTGGTCGCCCGTTATATAATATATGCTTAACTCTTATGTAAAGAGGGTTGTTGAATGGCTGAATGGTTAGCACGTGCGCGCTGTATCATAAAGTCTGTCATTGAGTCAACTAGCGTGGTTTCGATTCCCCGGTTGTACATGACAAGGAGTAGGGTCGCCTGTCCAACCTCGTGGGTTTTCTCCGGGTCCTCCGGTTTTTTCCCACTGCTAAAGACCCCTACGCGTAAGCGAATTATGGAAATAAAATTGAACCATATGTTAGTCCCGAAATGACCTAGTTTGTGTCGAGTGGACGTTAAACCCTATTTCGCTCTCAGGTTTTTTTTATAAATTAATAACAGTATTGCTACTTTTACTATATAAATTAATAACAATATTGCTACTTTTACTTTATAAATTAATATTGTTACTTTTACTTTATAAATTAAAAATAGTATTGTTACATATACTTTATTAATTAATATTGCTACTTTTACTTTATAAATTAATAATAATATTGCTACTTTAAATATCATTGGTTTAAACTTGTTTTATTCCACCTACATTACATTGTACAACACAAAATGATTACACAAAAGTCATAACAACTCATAAACGTCTTGCAGCCAACTATTGTGTGGTAACAGCCTCGTGGATAGCCTTAGAAACATAGTCTACATTTTTGGTTGTCATGGCACACATGTTAATTCTGCCCATCTTGGTGAGGTAAATATGGAACTTGGAGGTTACATATTCTACTTGTGGACCTGAAAAACATTAAAATCTAGGTGACGATGTTTAAGCCAGGTTCCCACTGCCGTGCGATGCGTTACGATAAGATTGTACGAAAGCCCAGAAGGCTCATTCCAAAATTCCAAATTCCAAATGCGTAATTCTTAATTCCTACACATTGGCGTGCACGTAAAAGATCCCTTGGCAGTTGGAATTCGATATAAGAGTAGGCCGTAGTGCCGCTGTCCGGGCAAAATTTCCCTCATAGCACACTGTATGGCGTATGCCCGTCTTCATTAGCCCAGGTTAGGAGCAGAACAGTAGGACGTTAAACCCCATTTCATTTCATTTCATTTCTCTAACTTACGAGTTGTCCAGTAAGACTCTTATTTTTTTGAAACACGTTAATAGTTATCAATAGCCTAGTACCGTAGCGGACGCCGATATCATACTCTGCATTAGTCAGTGAGTGGATATCAGATAATTACGAGAATCGAATTTTATTTTGAATAAGCGAAGCGCAATTGTCCAAAGATTCGGGACACGAAATGGTCGGATATGGAATCTACAGCGTTCAATTATTTTCATATTTTTCTGGCACTAAGCCATCCAGATCCAGCGTCGTGGGCTTCATATATTGAAATATCTGCCCCCTCCACCCGTCCGTCCTGCAGCTAACATGACTATAGATTTCCCAATCAAATACCGTGACAAAAGACAAGCTCATCAACTTATTTTACCTTTTATTTACCAGACGTATATGTAATCCTCGATAGTATAGTGGTAAGTATCCCCGCCTGTCACGCGGGAGACCGGGGTTCAATTCCCCGTCGGGGAGATTACATTTTTATCAATCTATCGATTTATTGTATTAACAAGAACTATTACCGTTAACTAAAATTAATATTTTTTGGTCCGAAACAGATCACAGGAGACGAAATGTCCCAGTTGTTAATATTTGATAGAGAATCCAAATAAGGCAGTTGTAAGATGAAATATTGAATACCCTGAGGGCAAACAACATTTTTGTCAGTATGCTTAGTTACTTTAGATGCTGTATATGTTAAAAGGACAATAACACTCTTGCTGGCTTGAAAGCTCAAGAAAATAAATAATATCTCTATCTAAGTACTAGATGTTTAAGTGTCCTACCTGTTGTGTAAATTATCCATTGCATCATATTTTACTTGTACAGAGGGTTCGAAAATATTTTAAATCGAAGTTTCATTTGAAAAGGTTTACGTTAGACGTTTCAAACCATTATGTTGAATTTTTCAAAAATGTTAAATTAGCTGTGTTAAATGAAATTTGTATCATCAATTAATTGGAATATTGTAAAATAGTGCAATTTGTTGACCAGAATAAAGATTGGGACATATTATTCAGTTATAACAAGAGTGGTATTGAGCCTTTAAAGATACAATATGCAAGATATAAATCGGACTATTGCAGGTGTTTTTCTAGCTTAGGGTAATTTAACAGAAAGTTAATGTAATCTGACTGAAATTATAAAGAAATTTTAAAGTAATTTAACAGAAAGATTAAGTAATTTGACTGAAATTTTAAAGTAATTTGACTGAAATTTTAAAGTAATTTGACTGAAATTTTGAATATATTCATGTTTCAGTATCTATTTCTGAATTATTATAGTAAGGATGGTCACCTAATGTTTCCATAAATTGTGTTATGGGAAATGAAATGAAATGAAATGGGGTTTAACGTTCTACTGTTTTGCTCCGAACTGGGCTAATGAAGACGGACATACGCCATACAGTGTGCTATGAGGGAAATTTTGCCCGGACAGCGGCACTACGGCCTACTCTTATACAGAATTCCAACTGTCAAGGGATCTTTTACGTGCACGCCAATGTGTACACGGGACCTCGGTTTTTCGTCTCATCCGAATGACTAGACAGCTGTCCTTGTCAGGCCCTCCGCTTCTGTTATAGGAAGAAGGAACAGCTCTCTATCTAAATCTTACATAATGTCTCTTTAAACCTTAATCAGGCTTATTTTTTTTGACAACTTCATTCAGATAAAATGACTAAGTGGGTAAGACGCTGGCTCGCTAGCCTGGAGGTCGTGTGTTCGTTTCCTGCATTGGCCGAGAATGTTCATCCAGATTTTCCGGCGTGGTTTCCCCTTGTCAGTGAAGCACACTGCATGGCGTATGCCCGTCTTCATTAGCCTAGTTCGGAGCAGAACAGTAGGACGTTAAACCCCATTTCATTTCACATAAAATGAGAAAAGACACAAAATGAAATAAATGGGGTTTAACGTCCTACAGTTCTGCTCCGAACTGGGATAATGAAGACGAGCATACACCATGCTATTAGGGAAATTTGCCCGGACAGCGGCACTATCGCCTACTCTTATATCGAGTTCCAACTGTCATGGGATCTTTTACGCGCACGCCAATGTGTACACGATACCCCGGTTTTTCGTCCCATCTGAACGACTAGACAGCTGTCCATGTCAGGCCCTCCGTCCCATCCGAACGACTATACGTTGTCCCTTGCTAGGTTCACCGTCCCACACCACTGACAAGGGGGAACCACACAGCAAAATCACGAACTTTATCGGTCAACGCAGCGATCGAACACAGAATCTCCTGGTTAACGACCCAACGTCCTACTCACTGAGCCACCGTGGCTCCACGAAAAGACACAAAGTAGAAACAGGACCGGATTAAGCTTGCATAAGGCCACTGGCTGAAAATGCCACAGTTCAAAGGGGGTATACTTACGGTAGCGGGGAACATGTTATGTCTCACTTGTTAAACCGTAAATAACATTGTTTTAAGATCGTCGCCCAAGAAGACGAACAACAAAACTAAACAACTTACTTGTCATGCCCGTGTAGAAAAACATCCCAGTCTGGGTTAATACGTGATTCCAGTCACCCGGTGTTTTCAGATTAACCAGTCTCTCATGTAACATCTTTCTCATCAGTTTAATTCTATCAGACATTGTTCTAACCTGATCCTTCCTGAAATATTATCATAATATATAGGCCTATGCATTTTCTTGAAATTTAATTAGGCTTGTATCCGACACATCTTTACTTGGGCCTGCTTGAAATTCAGAGGGGCTGGGTCCAACACGTGCGCTTAAGATCATAAGGTCTGCATGTCAATTGAATTGACATAGAGTGCGGTTGCCTGTTCTTCCGGTCCTCCGGTTTCATCCCACTGCTAAAGACCAAGGCCGGTTGTTCAAAGCTCCGTTAACTTATAACCACTCGTTAACATGGAGTTAACGTATCGTTATCTATAACGGAGAGAAATTCTGTTGCTGGAAGATCCGTTATCTTAACATGGAGTTAAATTGCCGTTATATTTAACGAAGGTGTTGGGCTCCGTTATCTGTTTAATGATGGCAATAGTCGGCTGTCAGTCAAAGTATACTCTTAGCAAAAATTCCTATAGATTACCAGTGTAGCTTTCTATAGAATTATATATTACATTCTAGAGGGTGGGAGGGGGGCTATCATATTTTCTATAGCACGAAACTCTATAGTATTCTACATACTACAGGAAATAACAGACTCCAAATATTTTTCGGTTTCTGTTGTGCAAATTGTATAATTGTTCCTACAGATTTGTGCTAAAATTTCTATAGGAAAATACTATAGTTTTCTATAGATTTTTTATAGTGTTTTCTGTAGTAAATTCTACAGTTATCTTTTTGTTTTTAATCAAGTTTTAAGAACAGATTGCGGAGGTGTCCCACTTTCTTCTATGAAGTTGTTATACATGAAGGCTACATTGAATTTTGAAATTTAAAATTCAGTCAATGAAAGTCTTCTCTTGGATTAACTTTAATCAGTTCGTCAGCTAACAAATAATGAAATTGACTTTCCAGCAATAGAAATTTAACGGACCGTTAACAAACGACACGTTAGCAAGATATCGATCCGTTAGAATTTAACGGATCGTTAAAATAACTTGAGTTTTGAGCAATCGGTCCCAGGGCTACGCGCAGGCGAACCATAGAAATAAAATTGAACCATTAGTCCCAAAATGACAGTTTGTGTCGAATGGTCGTTAAGCCCTCGCTCGTCTCTCCATAATATTTGCTAACTCTTTACGGTTTTCGTTAGAGATGGGGTTATAAACCAGTATGCACCGGGAACAGTTGGCATGCTGCACGCTTTTTGTGTTGTAAGCGAACCATAAACAGGAGTTGTCTCCCTTACCTAGTCACATTCTCTCTCCTCGCTGCCACAACATGAACCATCTTGTCTGTTTAGGTGTTGTTGCTTATAGTTCAGGCGTGGTGCTACTGACTGGTGCAGTGACCGACAAAATATCGTTCATTCACTCAATATACTCACCATTCCTGATATAGAGATTTGTCGTTGAGTATTGTAGCTACTACCCTAGCACCATGATGTGGAGGATTCGCCCAGATTCTTCTGATGATCATCTCACACTGGGACCTCATTTCATCAATGGTGGAAGAATCTTTAGTTATAATAGATAGGTTTCCCAATCTTTCATCTGATAAAACAAAAAAATGTTTCCTATTATCTTTTTTAAGGTAATGATTACAAGTCAGAAAGAATTTGTTTTATGGAAGTGAATGGAAAATGACACGCCATTGATGAAATAAAATCCAACATGTTTTCACCAATCGAGGTAACGAAGTCTGACAACTATGAGGCAAATTGATCTTTTACGTGTTCTTTTACACGAAACCACAACTGTAAATCCCGAGCAACTTTGTCGCAGCCAACACAGGGATCGAACCCTGGACCTCCTGATTTAGCGACTTAGCACTTTACCCACTGAGCCATCGGGGAGAAGAAATAATCAGAGGTGGGCCATGTGGATACTTTTCCTTGTTAGTCATAAATCTTTGCTTTATAACCCGGGAATCCAGCTCGCATCTAACCTCCGCGAAGTAGGGTTGAATGGATCCTCGTGCTTTTTAAAAGTTCGGGGCTTTGAGGAGATTTCGGTGGAATGATTCCCAGAAAACATTTTAGGCCCATTCTACCATCCAGCTCGTATCTAACCTCTGTGAAGTAGGGTTAAGTGAATCCTCGTGCTTTTTGAAAGTTCGGGGCTTTGAGGAGGGTTCGGTGGCAGGATTCCAAGAAAATATTTTAGTCTCATTCTGTGCAATTTTTGTCCAGATTTTAATGGAATAGCCGGAGTGTTCCGTCGGAACCAGGTTTGTATGTGTGTGAGGAAAGCTGGTGGATGGATGGGTGTAGGCGTGGCTGCCAGCGTTGCAAGCCCAATTTGGGTCCTGGAGGGAAATGGGTCGGATGGGGTGGGTTCAAACGGGCATCTTTGATACTGTATACATGGGGGGAGGGAGCACTTACTATAAAGTCCAAAGTTTTTAGAGAAAGACTGTGCTATAAGAAACTCTACACCCTCGCTAGCCAGAAGTCGTAGAGGATAGGCATCTTCATCAACATCACCGCTAGCAAAACCTTGATAGGTGCAGTCCATCACTGGTATTAACTTTCTCTCCTATAACAAAATCAATCCACATGGTCGATAAATATTTCTATAAACAATGAATTCGGGTTTACATTCCAACCGAACGAGCAGACGCTGTTTCTTGCCAGACGCTCCGCCCAGGACTAATGAGAAGGTGGCACCAGGCTGAAGAATCCCGAGGAACTTCCTCGGCCAACACCGAGATCGAACCCATGACATCCCAGTTAGAGAACCAGCACCTTAAACTAACTGAGCTATCGCGACTCACAAAGGACACTAACAATCTACATTGTAAACCTACCTTCAGGACTGCGACAATCTGAACAATCCCGAGGAACTTCCTCGACCAACACCGAGATCGAACTCATGACACCCCAGTTAGTGAACCAGCACCTTAAACTAACTGAGTCATCGCGACTCACAAAGGACACTGACAATCTACATTGTAAACCTACCTTAAGGACTGCGACAATCTGAACAATCCCGAGGAACTTCCTCGGCCAACACCGAGATTGAACCCATGACATCCCAGTTAGTAAACCAGTACCTTAAAATAACTGAGCTATCGCGGCTCCCAAAGGACATTGACAATCTACATTGTAAACCTACCTTCAGGACTGCGACAATCTGTTTCCACTGTTGAGGTGAAGGATCGGTGGCTGTTGTATTGTGAGCACAGGTGTGCAGAACAACCACAGTCTTCTCTCTAGCATTCTGAAATAATTCTTTAAATCAATTTGTTATCTATAAATATTCATAACCACTCACAAAACTACAGTTGACTTTTGCAGATAAACGTGCCAGTTTATACCCAGGAGTTACTATCTCAATTAATGAATGATATAAGGTTTTATACGGTTCTGCACCGACACGGCTAATGAAGACGGGCATCCGCAATGCAGTTTACTATGAAGGGAATTGCAACTGTCCAGGGTCCTTTTACGTAAAAGAGCCCTCTCTCTCTCTCTCTCTCTCTCTCTCTCTCTCTCTCTTCAAGACTTTAGTATGCTGTAGAACAAACATCTTGGTGGCCAAGACTATTAGAGATATTACCTGCAAATCTGCTAGCAGTCCATCCAGATCCAGACCTTTAGTCCCGGGGTTCCAGTATCTATATTCGTTCACTTGACTGTAGCCGGTAGCCTTGACTATCCCACTATGATTATCTATTAAGTAGAGTAGCAACATAATCAATTAGAAATTCAACAAGCTTTTATGTAAAAAGTGCAAGCAAAAATATGTTAGCTACGACATACCAAATGTTCTAACCAAATGCCTTGTGTCGGACACGTATTACTACTGAATTAAAATTCAGAATTATCGTTCCATCCGAAAGAAAAGAATCTTAGGTTAGCTAGCCCCTCTCGTTCTGTACCATTGGCAAGGTGAAACCTTCTCTCTCAACACGTATTCGAAGCCATGACCTTCCTTTTAGTCAATCTGATTAAAATACAGATCTATATTTCGTTTCGTTTCTTTTTATACTTTCGATGGCCTACACTACATGAAGATCTCACAAGTTGTACACGGAGGTCGTGTAAGGGGTCGTACGAGCGACTTTTGACCCTATGACGTCGGACATTGATTAATCAATCAGCGTTGACGTTTCTAGTGGTTTACCCACAGTTCCGTGCATGGCATGCCACGAAGTCGCCGTAACAGGCCCTTTCATTGGCTTGTCCCCCACTTCAACAAAAACGCCGGTAACATAACTCTTCGAGATTCTAGTGTAGTAAAGACAAGTAAAACGAAATTTTGAACTATTATAAAACGAAATGAAATAGGATCAGTGTAATCAGATTGCTCTTATGGGAGCCGCCATTTCTCCGTCTAACTCAATCAGTCCGAAAGAATGAATTTCATTAAAATACCATCTCTGTTGTAGTTGTTGTTCTTAGTGTTTAACGGCCGCTTCGACCGAAGGTGCAGATATGACAGACAAGTCGTCTTATGTTGGTTATCTTAGCGCACGCGCGGGGTCATTCCTGTTGGAGGGAGCCAAAGTAAACCCAAGAGGCGATAAACTGCTAGGTATAAGTATTCTATGCATCCTGACACCATTTTTAATTTTTGGGATCACGTGAACAGTGCCGGCTAACCTATCCTAATAGGGGGCCGTGGCATTTTGGGTGTGCCTGTTAGGGGTAACCCACAGCACAAACCGTCTGGCACTGGTCATTTATGAATCTTTAAGTGGTACTGAACAAATCCAAACTGTTTTAGGTGGTACAGATTTCAGCTAATCTAGTCTAGCTGTGGTCTGGAAATTAGATAACTCTTGTCAGGGATACTCCCCCACTACAAATGTCTGGCAATTACATAACTCTGTCAGGGGTTGATCACCACTTGAAATGACTGTCAGAGTGTTTTTGTAATGAAGATGTACGGCACACTGCTGTGCGATTTTCATGGGGTACACTTTTGAGCTAATCTAGACTAGTTGGGGGGCATGTCATTTTGGGCGTGGAATACCACACCCACCACCAGAAACCCGGAAGACTTACATTCTGATGATACCAGATATACATTCATTGATACCATATAGGAGAAAATTGACACAATTTTCAGCTAAGTTAACCCTCTGGGCTCCCGCTCTATAAAGTCTAAATAAACTTTTTCATTTTTATAAAATGGAAGCAGATTGAATAAATAACAAAATTCAAATTCTTGAAGTATACTTAGTGTTTTCGACAAAAATCGTCCATTTAGGACTTAAAATGTCGGTCAACTAGCATAGTGTATGTTCTCAAACGAGCTAACTGTAGACAGGCAGCCTAAGTTTAATATGACTTACCCCATGTTAAAGTAGATATTAAAACAGTGTCTTGGTGCAGTTTCTGTTTCAGGAACTCGGCAGCTAAACGTAATGACCCAGTTCCACCAATCGTTTGAATAGACAGTACCTGCAATGTCATTGATAATATATTGTTGGAACAAGATAATAGCATTAGAGAATATATATTGTTGGAACAGGATAATATGATTAGAGAATAGCTATTGAAAATATATTGTTGGAATAGGATAGATAATATCATCAGAGGATATCTATTGCTGGAAAAGGATAATATCTTTGGAGAATTTCTAGTGATGGAATATGATAATATCATCAGACGATATCTGTTTTTGGAACAGGATAATATCATTCGAGAATATCTATTGAAAATTATATTGTTGGAATAGGATAATATCATCAGAGGATATCTATTGTTGGAAAAGGATAATATCATTATAGAATATCTTTTGTTGAAATAGGATAGTATCATTAGGAGATATCTGCTGTTGGAATAGGATAATATTATTAGAGGATATCTATTGCTGGAAAAGGATAAAACCATTATAGAATATCTATTGTTGGAATAGGATAATATCATCAGACGATATTGTTAGAGTAAGATACTATCAGTAGAGATTATATCGTTTGAACAGATATGATCGGAGAGGGTGTGGCGGAAAGTGGGATATTGTTCGGGAGGGAGGGGTGTCCCAGACAACAAAATAGATTTGAATACGGGAAATACATGATCAACCTTTTATGATAATAATAACATCAGTATACTCTTACACCTCTTTGATTTGGATCATCTGGTGTATGATTCTGATTAGTGATGAGGCAAGCGCCAATATGTACACGGGACCCCAGTTTTTCGTCCCATCCGAACGACTAGACAGCTTCCTTGTCAGGCCCTCCGTCCTGCATCACTGACAAGGAGGAAACCACGCCGGAAAATCTGGATGAACTTTCTTGGCCAATGCAGGGATCGAACACATGACCGCCAGGCTAGCGAGTCAGCGTCTTGCCCACTTAGCCACTTCAAAGAGGAAACCACCGACTTACTAACAGGGAAGTCGCATATTCATGCCGGTATCCATTAGCTTTGTTTGTACAGAAACGCAGAAGGGGCACTAACGTTTTGCGCCAGCCAACAAATAAATTTGACTAACCCTATTTTCTTTTATCACGCTGCTGTCTGAACCCAAGGCCAATCTGGTAGCAGCTTCATTAAACTCTGGTAGTCCACAGATTGGAAGGTATTCATGATTAAGGGTACGATTTGAAACAACCAACTCCTCTGCTTTATGTACTACTGGTAATACCCATGGTTCACCATCATCATTCCTATAAGCTATGTTTACACGATAGAAAATATAAACACATAAGCTATGTTCACACATAAGCTATAAACATGTAAGCTACATACTAGTCTCGCTACATACATGTAAGAGAGAGAGGCAGGGGGGGGGAGGGGTAACGCCCACAAGGTAGGTCATTTCGAGACTAATATATCGTCCAGTTTTATTTAAATAATTCGCCTAGGTATCATTAGTAGTGGGAGGACCGGGAGAAAACCCACGAGTTTGAATAGGCAATCATACTCCTTGCCACGTACAAGCGGGGACTCGAAATCATGCCACTTGACTCAATGACAGACATGGTGATCTATAGCGCACGCGCTGAATGCAGCCTGTATCGCGTGTTGTCCGACGGGCCAAATGATGGGGTGATTACATACAATGCCCACTTGGCAAATCTCGGCAGATTCCGGTACTCTACCTCTAGCCTCGGCTGTATGACGGTAAGTGAAATGTACCTACACCTATAATTGCGATGCGTCACCGATTGACTTATTAGGAAAACTTGTCCCTTTTAGAAAGTATGTAGAATTGTCAGTGCAAAGATGTCCTTGTTTAAAGAAAATCGGATAAACTTGAAAGAAAAACAACTTCGGACTTTGATAGCTTTGTATGATAAAACATTCTTCAAAGGCGTCGTCAGGGGCGATGCCGTTGGTAATTCGGGAACATGAAAGTAGCTCCAATGACGGAGGCTACATGTAGGCTACTGGAATCTGCTGAAGTTTGCCGAGGCGAGTGATAAAATACCCACACTGAATTGTGGGCGCATAAAAATGTCATGTCATCGCTGAGATAGCGTATCATTGTAGACATTTTGATAATTATAAAACACACATTGACGTGCACATGAAAGCAGGCGATACGTTTCAAGTCAGTAGCTTGAAGCGTATATATGGTATTAGTGTCAGTGGCCTGTGGCACGAAGTAACAGTATATTGTCGCATACATAATATATTATGTCAACGCTTGGGCGATATAATATATTATGTCAACGCTTGGAACTAGGATGGAGGTGACTAGGCATGAACTTGCAACGATAGATTTAATTGGCGCTTTGATAACCACACAATGCTTTGGAGACATATTTTGGCGGTATTTTCCATCATGGAATCGGTAAGTTTCGATTGTTTTTTTCTTTTCTGTTTTTTCTCTCTTTTCTGTGTCCTAACCCTAACCCTAATCCGAAAGAAAAGTGCCCTTTTTTGAAATTCTGACATCACAGGTGCCCTTTTTCTGATAAGGATGCCCTCTTTTATTTACAGGGACACTTTCTATTGTTAAGGGGGTGGACCGGTCCCCATGGTCCAACCCCTGGATCCGCTCTGATGACGCGTACATTCCACTGAGTCTACAGGTCTAATATGCTAACACGCTTGGAGCGTCAACACAATATATTATGTCGCCCAAGCGTTGACATAATATATTATGTATGCGACAATATACTGTTACTTCGTGCCACAAGCCACTGACACTAATACCATATATACGCTTCAAGCTACTGACTTGAAACGTGCAGGGTGCCCCGTCACTGGGACGTTTAACACATTTCATTTAAAGATATATTATGGGAGATTAGATAAATCCAGTAAATATCGCAGACTAGTGACATCGAGAGTTGATTATGGTCTGGAGTAGTTAATTAATGTCTAATTTATAATTTACATAAAATTTCAGGCCTAAAGAAAGACCTAGCTGCAATAGGCAGATTTATCTCTTGCATAATGTATGTTTAACTGTGTCTTTAACACCCATATAAGAAATATAATACGCTTGTACTTTTACGTGTTTGAACAGCTAAGCAGAAATAAAAAATGTAGGTCGGTGTGATAAAAATTTAAATCTACGATCATGTTTGTTTATTGTGCAATTCATTTTAAGCCGAATTAGTGCATTGGCGACAAAAGGAGGCCCATTGTCATTGAGATATATATATACTATTCAAAAAAAGTAGGGGATATTTGATTTTGGGGGCATAATACTAAAATATGCAAATGACTACGAAAAAAGTCACTATAGAACCTAACAGAAGAAACATTTCCAGTTACATGTGACGCCCAAACGCACCAATAGCTACCGCATGGAATGCAGGTGATGCTTGGGATCATCATGGGGGTCCAACCCAAGATTTGCACGACTCTGACTTTGAATGTTACAGTCATTGTGGCATTGAATTCCAGGGTGGAAACATCAGTTTAATTGTTTTAGTGACCAGAAAACAAATTTTGATATGCGTCGGCTTACCCAAAATGAAAGGTTACGTGCCCTTGGCATGCTACAGATCGGCACAACACAGGCGGTTGTGGCGCGGACGATGAATGTTTCTCAGTCTGTCATAAGCAGGCTTTGGTCCAGATACCGTGATACACAATCTGTACAGGACAGACCACGCTCAGGTCGACCAAGGGCGACAACTCAAGCCCAGGATCGATTTATCCGTACCTTGGCCTTGAGAAATCGTGTCATCACAGCAAATCAGATCAGCGCTCGTCTTCAAACAGACACTGGTGTGAGAGTGAGTGGCCAGACGATTCGGAATCGACTGCATAGGGGTCACCTTCGCGCCCGACGTCCTCGCGTGATCCCTTGTTTGAGAGATCATCACATTCAGGCAAGACGTCGTTGGTGTAGGGATCGTCAACACTGGGATAATCGACGCTGGAGAAATGTGATGTTTTCAGATGAGTCAAGGTTCACTGTTGATTTTTTGGACAGACGTAGGAGGGTGTGGCGTCGTCGAAACGAGCGCTTCCAAGACGTTAACGTCATCAGACATGATCGATTTGGGGGTGGTTCTGTTATGGTGTTGGGAGGCATCACTGTTGCTGGAAGAACGGCTTTACATGTTGTTGCAGGGCGTGTTACAGGCCAGTACTACCGGGACAACATCTTGGCAGTCCATGTTGTGCCGTTCGCACGACGTCATGGCCGCCGTTTCATCTTCCAGGATGACAACGCAAGATGTCACAGGGCCAGGATCGTTACAGGTTACCTCCAACAACAGAACATCACCACATTACCTTGGCCAGCACTGAGTCCCGACCTCTCCCCCATCGAGCATGTCTGGGACATGCTTGGACAGAGGTTACGTCAACGTCAACAACGTCCTGCCAATGTCCAAGAACTTGCTGCTGCGTTGCAACAGGAATGGGACAATCTGGACCAAAATGACCTTAGACGTCTCATAAGGAGTATGCCACGTCGGATCAATGCTTGTTTGGCAAACAGAGGAGGATTTACCCGTTACTGACTTGGTTGTGATGCTGTGGTAACTTTGCTGTTTGACCCCGGGTATCATTTTACCCTTATAATGGTCAGTCTGTGCCTTACTTAGTCTAACGATCATTTGGAATAAATCGATGAATGTGAACTTCATTTCATTTTGTCATTTGTTTCTTCGTCAGTTTCATTAGGTGACTTTAATAACACTTAAAAATCAAATATCCCCTACTTTTTTTGAATAGTATAATATGCAGAGAGTTTCAGTTCCGTCACAGGTGCTTACATATTTTACACTTTTTGTCATATACATGTTTTATAGCCTGCACATAAAAAGTTCACGGTAAAAACAACGTTCTCCTCGACTGGCGCTTAATGAGAGAGATTCTTGTGATTATAAAGTTTTTACTTACCCCCTAATCCGAGGTTGACTTTGTCCGGGGATTCATCGGCGTAAAATCGACGATTTAAATCGAAGACTTCTATAACTGGTGCAAAACCTAATCCTTGAAATAAAGACATCGTGTTATAAACTGTTTACACGTGAACGGTTGATGTATTAATGTTGGGTTATAGCTACGCCAATAGATATCAGCTATCAGTTGGGGCGGATACAGCCAAATTTGGAAAAAAAGAGTCCAGAGGGGGCTTACTGAGAGGCGAAAACAGGATTTAGAAAAAGGGGTATGGTGAAAACCAATGTCTTGTGGAGGGAAATACAATGAAATGAAATGGTGTTTAACGTCCTGCTGTTCTGCTCCGACTGAGATAATGAAGACGGACATACGACATACAATGTGCTATGAGGGAAATTTTGCCCGGGCAGCGGCACCATGGTCTACTCTTATATCGAATTCCAACTGCCAAGGGATCTTCTTGTGGAGCGAGTATACGTAGTAGTAGTACTAGTAGTAGTAGACTAAGTAATAGTAGTAGTAGTACTAGTAGTAGTAGACTAAGTAATAGTAGTAGTAGTACTAGTAGTAGTAGTACTAGTAGTAGTAGACTAAGTAGTAGTAGTACTAGTAGTAGTAGTAGTAGTAGTAGTAGTAGTACTAGACTAAGTAGTAGTAGTAGTAGTACTAGTAGTAGTAGACTAAGTAGTAGTAGTACTAGACTAAGTAGTAGTAGTAGTAGTACTAGTAGTAGTAGACTAAGTAGTAGTAGTAGTACTAGTAGTAGTAGACTAAGTAGTAGTAGTACTAGACTAAGTAGTAGTAGTAGTAGTACTAGTAGTAGTAGACTAAGTAGTAGTAGTAGTACTAGTAGTAGTAGACTAAGTAGTAGGAGATAGTGCTTTAACGTCTGCTTCCACAGTAGTGATATCGCCCGAAAAGTGGAAGTAGTGGGTGGGTCTTTTTTATAGTGCTGTAATATGTTAATAGGATATTGAAACTATGTTTTTTCGCGACTAACGTATGGTTCATTTCTATTTCACTAATGCTTTTGCGCGTCGATTTCTTTAGCGATAGCAGGAACCGGGGGGACCCGGCCGGAGAAAAGCCACGAGGTTGGAAAGGCGAGTCTGCTGCCTGTCAGGTACAAGCTGGAATTTGAAACCATGCCCCTTGACAGACCTTATGATCTAAAACGCACGCGTTAACCACTCGGTCACCTATCGCGGCTAAATCTATTTGTTAAGGCCAGCTGAGATGTAAAATAAGGTTAGGGCACGTGATTGTTGGCGAGATTGTAGCTTATAATAATAATAAAAAGAACTTTTTTAATGAGGCTTGCAAAAAAAAAATAATCTTTTAGGGTTAGGATAAGCATTGGGACTAGGTCCAGGGTTAGGGTTAGGAGTAGCGCTAGCCCTGTTTACATCTCGTGACCTATGATGAAAAATTGAGGTGGCCTTATCATTTAGCACTGACCGTGAGATACAAACTGACAATAGAAATGCGGTGTTACAGACGAGCCACGGTGGCTCGATGAGTACGACGTTGGCTCGCTAATTTGGAAATCCCGTGTTAACGTACGTAACTCAGGTAAGAAAATTAAATGTTAGATGGCAGGTAGCGTGTCTCTGACGTTCAGAATGCCCGTGTTCATTTACTGTATTGGCGTAGAAAGTTCATCGGGATATTCCGGCGTGGTTCCCCCTTGTCAGTGATATAGAAGGAAAGTCAGGAAAGGGTGTAGTACTACTGGTCTACTTTGGTGTGATCGAAATTACAGGTTAACTACAGGTTAAGTTATATATTTAAAACTCATAAAAGCCGTGTTATAAATATATAAAACAGGTTTAAACATCGAGGCCGTAAGCGATAAGTTCTTTATCTGTGAACATACTCTCAAAGCATGTCAAGTGTTCTTGACTATTTATCATATCACAACCTGCATAGGTATTTGCATTTCAATATACCCTACTTTTTTGAAGAGTATATACAAATTTATTATGTAAGCAGCTAGGCATTAATGTACCTCGTTCTTAATAAAGTGTATATAGCTTTTGATGGCTGCACTGACAGACCGGGTGAGCTCTAATGAATTTCGTCCAACACCCTCTATTCTATAACCCCCTAATTCCTTTACACCGTAGACGTGTTAATTTCCTTCCCAAATATGGAATAAACACCCCCCATAGCCCGAAAACCGGGTGGAGAACATTACCTTATTTGGTCTACCAAACACATTTCATAAACAAGATAGTATTTGATGGATATTTTGACAATGTAAAGAACATAACCAGTGTTTTTACCAAACTGTCAGCGTTTTTATATATAAACCTATCACTCATTCAATTTGAGTGCATGAGATATGACTTATCTACAATCTGTGAATCCAAGAATTAGTTAAAGATAGTATTACAGAGGACAACGTATATAGTCTTTGGAATGGGACCAAAAACCGAGGTGCACGTAAAAGAACCTTTGATGGTTGGAATTCGAAATTAGAGCAGGCAGTAGCGTTGCTGTCTGTTCAAAATGTCCTTTCATTTCTCAATGAGAAACGGTGCAGTGAGACAAATTAGTAGGGGTATTGTTTCTTTTTTGTTTTGCAACCCCGAATAATATGTTATAGACACCTAAAATGTTATCAAAAAGAAATGATAATGAAGACGGGCATATACCATACAGTGTGCTATGAGGGAAATTTTGCCCGGACAGCGGCACTACGGCCTACTCTTATATCAAATTATATCAAATGTGTACACGGGACCTCGGTTTTTCGTCCCATCCGAACGACTAGTTATATATATTTGAATATATATTAGTGACAAAAAAAACAAATGGCTCTTGTAAATGACCATGGACTGCCCCATTACAGCAGTTTAATTTATTTTTGTCTTTCTTTTTCCGTGGAGCCACGGTGGCTCGGTGCGGAAGGCGTTGGCTGGCTAACCTAGTCATCCCGTGTTCAATGCCTGAGTTGACCAAGAAAAATTATGGAATTTTCCGGCTTGGTTCTCCCATATCGGTGGTGGCGCAGCACGGAAGCTGGTAAGGGACAACGTACAGTCGTTCGGATGGGACGAAAACATGGCACTATGGCCTACTCTTATATCGAATCCCAACTGTCAAGGGATCTTTTACGTGCATTCCAATGTATACACGGGACCTCGGTTTTCCGTCCCATCCGAACGACTAGACAGCTGTCCTTGTCAGGCCCTCCGTCCTGCATCACTGACAAGGGGGGACCACGCTGGAAAATCTGGATCGAACACCCGAGCCAGCGTCTTACCCACTTAGGTTAAACATAGGCCTAGTGGCCTTTTTTCGATGAGTTTTGAAATTATTAGGTAGTTGATATCAGAAATGTTTCCATAACCCGAATATTATTTCTGGTTGACAGGTAGCAGTCTTGTTAATTGCCCAATATTTCCGTCGGGCCCCCGTTTCTCACTCAACCAGCTCGCTTGACAAGAATTAATCGTGAAACGATATCACCGGGCCCGGACTGACAGTGCGACACCCTTCCCACTGGTCCCGTCTCTGCGGATAGTTTTTTTTCTTCTTAGAACTAGGTATATGACTTGACGTCCGGGATATACTCCACAGTCCATTTCCAAACATTTCTCGGGGGGAGGCTGGCGGACCCCTTAAACACCAAGAGGAGAGGACCCCCCCCCCCCCCCAGGTTGTCATCATGTCACTGGCTCTTTTTCAACGATTTCCGAACGTTTACTTAGACGAAAATATCGGCCAAATAGCTCTTGGAATGACTACAGATGCAAAGAAATGACGGATAATTTTCTTGCCCCCCCCCCCAAAAAACAACAAAAAAAAACCCTCTCAGCGGCGTGCCCCGTTTCCGCGGTCGTGCCCTCATTTTGCGTAGCCCCCCCCCCCCTTTTCAAAATTCCTAGATCCGCCCCTGCTCAGGGCCCGGCGACCCCATGATCCGTCACCGGGGAAGACCCTGGTACGCCCTTGGTAAAAAGACAAACCAGTTCCCTAACAAGATCAATCCTTTAGTTTTAAGTTTAGTTCGTTCCACTATTTACTGTACGTGTGAAATGTAATAATTTTACAATAACCAATGTTCATCAGGGGAGATAACTCTAAATAGAACACAGCTGATTTTGATTATTCGATTTTGTTTTGTTGACAATCTGGGTGATGAAGTAGGAGGTGTAAAAATGTAAAAATCTGAAAAGAGATTTTTGTTTGCGAGAAAATCTGGTGAAACTAATCACCCTGGTAGCAAGGCTTTCTTAAAGGCATTGGCTACTTCAAATTGCCAAGGCGCCATTGAGGACCAGTTCAACTACCGTACGCCGTATGTTCTATTTTGAAAATTCAAACGATCATCTTTTGAATTCTGAACCACATTAGTCGTGTAGGGCACAGTGGGTAATCTTAACCTGGGTATATTTCATCGCACAGTTGCTGTAAATTAAACCACTCGTTTAATTTTTTGTACAAAATGCAATGATAATGGTCTACCAAAACACAGGGTAGGCCTATATCTCCAGAATACCTGAAAACTCATCAAAAGACAACTCATCCCAATATAAGACAACTCATCCCAAGATAAAAGACAACTAATCCAAAATTTAAAAAAACACGCATTCCAAAATAGTTTTATTTGGCTTTCTCCTCTGATTTATTGAAAGTATAGCCATATTAGGCTAATATGTGTTCTGCAGGTGACCGGTTCGCTTTCGGTGTTGGCCGAGAAAGTTTATCTGGACTTTCCGACATGGTTTCCCCTTGAATTAGTGGTGCAGGACAGAGGCCAGAGGGTCTGACAAGGACAGCTGTTTTATAGTTCGACGGGTATGAAAAACTGAGGTCCTGTGTACACATTGCGCGTGCACATAAGAGATCCTTTGGCAGATGGAAATCGATAAAAGAGTAGGCTTGTATGCCCATCTTCATTGGCCCATTCAGAGTAGAACAGTGGGACCTTAAACCCTATTTCATTTCATTAGATATTATCCTTATTCACTAGGTAGTCTGAGCAAAATGTCCATCATAGCACACTATATGGTGTTTGCTCATCTTCATTAGCCCGGCCAGTGGGAGCAGAATAGTGAGACGTTAAACCCTGTTTCATTTAAATCACTAGCAGCCATATTTATAGCTATGAATTTTGTCTTTTGATCGAGACTAAGAAGACATCGTGACTGTATACAATAACCCTGGTATCATTTAATTATTTTAATCTTGTGTAGGCCTATTTAGTATTGATTTCTTTCACATTTATTCAATATCATTCAAACTGGATGTTCATTATCAAAATTGAATGGTCAGCTTTACACTGTACACAAGTACAAATTATATGATTTGGGGTGATTTTAATCGATATTTACGAATGTTCAAGGAAAGATTTGTACTTCAGTGAATGTGAAAGTTAAATTTAGGTCTAAATACACAAGATTAAATGATACCCAGATTACAGTTTAGGCCTACATGTACATGTATAAGCTTATAGTCCATATCTACTGTATTTGTATTGTATGATAAAAAGGGAATAAATTTAACATGTATCGGTCATTTTTTAAGTTTGGAATAAAATAAAAAAGTGAATTCAATAATAAATTGGTTATTTCAGGTTTTAAACATAAACTGCTAACAACATGTCAGCGACAAAACAGTCTGACGAAAAACTGAAGCCTGTGTGGAGAGCTGCAGAAGTCATAGCCGAAAGATTAGATATTTCTGTTAAAGTGACAGATAATGTGATTGAGATGTTAGAAGAGGGCGCCACCATTCCATTCATTGCTCGTTATCGTAAGGAAAGAACGAAGGGTTTAGAAGTGGATAAATTACGAGAGATTAGCACAGTATCAGAAGAATTAAAGTAAGAGGATAATAGTTGATGTAAAAATCTCTCAAACACCCTTCTCCTCTCTTACACAATTCTTTCCGCGAAGCTCTTCATACGCCCTCCTCTCCTCCAGCACTATCCTCCCTTCCATCAGAATCTCTTTCCCTAGCATCCACTTAAAGTTGCAATTTCATATTTTTAAGCTATATTTTTAAAATTTATTAAAATAAAGCCTTAAAATAGATGGTATCTATAAACAGTCCTACCTTGTTAAAGAATAATTCTATTAACCCTATAAGTATAATTCACTATTGCCAGTTGAGAAATTGGCAAAAATATCATTTTCATCTTCAAATTCAAATGTTTGAAGATAACTACTCTATGGTGAAGAATAGAAAACAAGGGAGGTAATTGGGAGGTAATTGTGTTATTATTTCCGGTGTAAATGAGTTTTAAGTGTGAGAATGAACCTATGATAGTATAATAGTGAGTTGACAACCTATTGAGAAAAAGACATAGAAATAATTATGTTTTGACTTTCTTAGAAAATATGAAATTGTAACTTTAACCCCAACACTACCTTCAGCAAGAAACACCTACACTACTTACCTTCTCGGAGCCGCAGTGGCTCAGTGAGTAAGACACTGGCTCGCTAGCCTAGTTCTTTCGATCCCAGTGTTAGCTGAGAAATTCCTCAGGATTTTCGGGGGGTTGGATGGCTGAATGGTTAGCACGGGCGCTGTCATTGAGTCAACTGGCGTGGTTTTGAATCCCCGGTTGTACATGACAAGGAGTAGGGTTGCCTGTCCAACATCGTTGGTTTTCTCCGGGTCCTCCGGTTTCCTCCCACTGCTAAAGACCCCTACGCGCAAGCGAATTATTGAAATAAAATTAAACCATATGTTAGTCCCGAAATGACCTAGTTTGTGTCGAGTGGACGTTAAACCCCATTTCTCTATCTCTCTCTCCTCAAGATTTTCAAGAGTAGTTTCCCCTTGTCAGTGATGCAGCATTGAGTGTCTGACAAAGACAATGAATGTCATATATTTTTGAATAAAGAATTGAAATGAAATGGACTAATGAAGACGGGCATACGTCATACCATGTACTATGAGAAAAATTTTGCCCGTATAGTCATGCTACAGCCTACTCTTATAACAAATTCCAACCATGCAGGCCAACGTGTACACAGGGCCTTGGTTTTTCATTCCATCAGAACAATTATAAGTTGTCCCTTGTCAAGCCCTTTGTCCTGCACTATTCATAAGGGGGAACCACGCTGGAAAATCCTTATGAACTTTCTCGGCCAGTGCAGGGATTGAACATGGAACCATTAGGTTATCAATCCGTTTGAGCCACTGTGGCCCCCTATTTTGGGATTAAGGCGGGGAACTGTCTCACTGTTCACTTGTTAAACATTGTCTTAACTTAATCTTCTGTTTTTACAGGGTTGTAGAGAATAAAATCGCAACAGTTCATCAAGCCATCAAAAAAACGGGTAAACTGTCGAAAGATCTGGTGGAAGCTTTGAAACATGCACAGAGTTTAGATGAAGTTGATACTCTGGTAAGCAATGAAATGAAATGGGGTTTAACGTCCTACTGTTCTGCTCCGAACTGGGCCAATGAAGACGGGCATACGCCATACAGTGTGCTATGAGGGAAACTTTGCATGGACAGCGGCACTATGTCCTACTTTTCTATCGAATTCCAACTGTCAAGGGATCTTTTACGTGCACGCCCTCTAGCACACTGTATGGCTGTCTTCATTAGCCCAGTCGGAACAGAAGGAACAGAACAGAAGGAAGTTAAACTCTCTCTCTCTCTCTCTCTCTCTCTCTCTCTCTCATTTCATTTATACAGAATTCAAGCTTTCGATTGTCTTTAAATTTATATGTGTACTGTTTTGCACAAAGGATTAAATTTACAGAACTCAAAAACAAATATTCTAAATTCCTATTTTATTGAAAAATCTCTTGTTTCCAAAACGGATATCTTGCTCCGTTCACAGACCTGAATCCATGAAACATACTTTTCATTATTCTGCATGTCTTTTATGGAACAATCTGCCTTTTCATATAAAGATGTGTAAAAATGTTGAAAATTTTAAGATTAAACTGAAAACTCATTATTTTTAACTTGCAACTGCATTCTATTTTATTTTGTGTGTAATTATAGTGTTCTTCCTATATTCTACTTGTATAATGTATATGTTTTGTAGTTTGGGAGTTTGGGAGTGACTTATCAAACTTCCCATTTCTAATGATTTTAAATTTATCCTGATATTACATGTGTATATGTCTTTGTAGCTTAGGAGGGACCTATGGAAGATTAGTTTTTTTGTTTTTTTGCAAACTAAATAGGTTGCCTCATTAAATAAAAAAAAAAAAAAAAAAGTTTGGAGAAAGAAATTGATGTGTATTCATAACCATTCTGGGTATGTTATATTCATAAGGGGGGGTTGGGGGTGGATGATTGAATGGTTAGCATGTGCGTGCTGTATCATAAGGCCTGTCATTGAGTCAACTGGCGTGGTTTTGAATCCCCTTTTGTACATGACAAGGAGCAGGGTCGCCTGTCCAACATCATTGGTTTTCTCCGGGTCCTCCAGTTTCCTCCCACTGCTAAAGACCCCTACATGCATGCGAATTATTGAAATAAAATTAAAATCCATGTTAGTCCCGAAATGACCTAGTTTGTGAGTGGACGTTAAACCCCATTTCTCTCTCTCTCTATATTCATGAGATAAAGAAGTCAGTAATTACTTTGTGGACACTCTAATGGCTAAAGTGATTATCTAATTGATATGAAATTGATACACAGTGTTTATGTTCATGCGACAAAATAACATATTGATTTTAGACAACCTCGATGCGAATTATTTATTACTTTGTAGGTTGTCATTTTTTAGTGATATATAAATGTTCCCATTACATACAGAATTTTAAATATTGCAAATAGTACTTGGCTATATAGGTGTATGTTTTGTTGTCTGGCAAACTATCTTTCTATTAAAACATTATATTACTGCTTTTTTTAGGGTTAACATACTTGGCTATATAGGCGTATGTTTTTGTTGTCTGGCAAACTTTATTTCTATTAAAACATTATATTACTGCTTGTTTTAGGGTTAACATACCCACTGAACTTGTTTGTTTTGTTTTTTCAGTTCGCTCCATTTAAACCAGGTCACAAAGGAACGTTGGCTGAACGTGCTCGGAAACTAGGACTGGAACCAATGGCTTTAAAAATACTTGATGGTAGATCGGTAGATTTATCTACATTGGTTAACAAGAATGAGAAAAGTAGGTCAAATGTTTATAGTTTAGTTAGTTTTCATATATATAATGTGGGTGGCTTAGTGGGTTAGACGCTTGCTCGCTAGCCTGGAGTTTGCGGGTTTGATCCCTGCATCGGCCAAGAAAGTTCATTAAGATTTTCCGACGTAGTTTCTCCTTGTCAGTGGTGCAGGACAAAAGGGCCAGCTTAGTTCTTCGGATGAGACTTAACGCAAATCTCATAAACTGTTCAAGATATCTATAATAAAATTTGTTTAATAGTTAACCAGGCATATTATTACTATTATTTAAATTTGTCAGTTTTAATGACACGCAGGATGATGGTGTCTAAACCTTGTTTCATTTCAATTTATTATTTTACGATTCATTGAATGTGATGTATGGGCGAGTAAATAGGGATTGTGGTATTAGGTACTAAGGGAAGTAACTCCATTTAGTAACAGGAAATGAGAGGACTTCCATCTGATCACAGGTAAAATTATAACGTGTATGGCAACTCTGTGTTCTTTTCTGAGCCCTAAAAGAGAATACAACAGGAATGTGCAACTTCTTTTTTTTTGAGACACTTGAATTTAACTAGAGATAAAAGTCCTCTTTCAATATTTTTATAGGTTTAAAGACTGTTGGTGATGTTGAAAAAGGTATACAACATATTATAGCTGATATAATAGCTAAAGATAAAGGTGCTATACAACAAGCTAGAAATATGTAAGCCATAATTTATACAACAAGCTAAAAATACATAAGTTTTGATTTATACAACAAGCTAGAAACATGTATGTTATAATTTGTACAACAAGCTAGAAACATGTAAATTATAATTTATATAATAAGCTAGAAATATGTAACTTATAATTTATACAGCTTGTTTTGTCTATCATCAAATTTGGGTGATATGGTGTAAGGCAAGGATGACCAATCTTTTACGTTTCATGTGCCCTCGACTGACATATACGGCCGACATGGAACCTATGTTTTAAACTCAACATTCGTTCACAAGGTTCAACTGACTATTTTTTTTCGAGACCTTAAACATACATTATGAAAGAGCTAAAGCAGCCTATTCCAGGTCTTTCATTAGGCTTGAAATGTTATATAGACTATTAATTAGACATTTATTAACATGAAAAGACCGTAATCAACCCTTGATGCCATCTTATGTGTCAGATTTTCACTGGCTTTGAAAATCCGATCTACTGCTCAATGCTCATTGATGATTAAATTTAATCATTAAATCCAAAAATGGATAATCGAGACTATGTTTTTTATCGTACCAACCTTAGTAATAATAATTGAGTCTAGGCCTAAAATTCAATCGCTAATATCTCGGTTCAGAGTGGATCAATTTGACTGAAATTTTCAGCATATTCCCTGTACATTATCTAGTTTTTATCCATTATAGTGAGAACTGTTAGCTCTTTATCTAATCTCCCATGATGCCCCTTTAAAAAACTAAATATTAATTATACTGGTTTGGTTTTATTTATTCAATTATTCATCCGTTGATTAATTTCAGATGTAAGAGTAATAAAGTGATATTAGAATGTCATAAATGTAAGAATACAACCAAGGCAGCATCAGTAGAGAAGAAAGTTGGGGATAGTAAGAAGAAAGATGATAGTTATAAATATGAACAATATTATGATTATAAAATACCAGTACATTATCTTAAACCACATCAGGTAAAATATTAAACATTGATATGACATCGGGATAACAATAAATAGTTGATCTGGTTGACTGAAAAAGGAGTCATCGTGACCTGAAGAGAGGGAGACGAGAGAAATGGGGTTTAACGTCCACTCGACACAAACTAGGTCATTTCCGGACTAACATATGGTTCAATTTTATTTCCATAATTCGCTTGCATGGAGGGGTCATTAGCAGTGGGAGAAAACCGCAGGACCCGGAGAAAACCCATGAGGTAGGACAGGCGACCCTACTCCTTGTCACGTACAACCGGGAAATCGAAACCAGGCCAGTTGACTCAATGACAGACCTTATGATATAAAGCTCACACGCACTAACCATTCGGCCATCCAACACCCCACAGTGACCTGGAGGACCCATATTGGATACATGCGTTGGCAGAGAAAGTTCATATGTATTTTCTGGTTTGCTTCCTCCTTGTCAGTAGTGCCTGGCAAGGGACAGCGTATAGTTATTTGGATGGGACAAAAAAACAAAGTCCCAATTACACATTGGCACACAAGTAAAAGATCCCTTGACAGTTGAAATTTGATGTAAGAGTAGGTCGTAGTACCACTGTCCGGGGGGAAAATTCCCCGAATAGAAAACTGAATGGCATATTATAGCTGACAGTTCTCACCAGAATAGTTAAAATATAGATAATGAAAACAGAATAAGCTCAAAATGTCAGTCAAATTGCTTCAATAATTGGCTTGCTCGTAGGGAAGGAAACTGCAGGACCTGGGGAAAACCCACGAGGTTGGACCGTCTTCATTAGGCCAGTCAGATAAGAACAGTAGGACGTTAAAACCCCATTTCATTTCATATGTTTTATTTTATAATTTGTTTATTTTTAGATTTTAGCTATAAATCGAGGTGAAGATAAGAAAGTATTAACAGTAAAGATTGTTATACCAGAGTTTATCAAGAATCAATTTATATCATACTGTCAGAGGAAATGGTGTCGTGGTCGTGATAGTGCATATATAGAAAATAGTATCGAAGACGCTTACGATAGACTTATAGTACCTCAATGTTGTAGAAGTATAAGGTGAGTACACAAAGCAGGCTATACATAATTGTCTGGGGCACAGATTCTAGAACAGTTTGTTCTGCGTAGAAGCCACAGTAGCTCAATGAGTATGAAATGAAATGGAGTTTAACGTCCAACTGTTCTGCTCTGACTGGGCTAATGAAGATGGGCATATGCCATACAGTGTGCTATGAGGGAAATTTTGCCCGGGTAACGGCCACTATGGCCTACTCTTATATCAAATTCCAACTGCCAAGAGATCTTTTACGTGCATGCCAATGTATACACAGGACCTCGGTTTTTGTCCCTACCAAACGACTAGACAGCTGTCTTTGTCTGGCCCTCCATCCTGCACCTCTGACAAGGGGAAACCATGTCAGAAAATCCTGATGAATTCTCTCGGCCAATGCAGGGATCGAACACCCGACCTCCAGGCTAGCGAGCCAGTGTCTTACCCACTTAGCCACTGTGGCTTCCCATTGTTTGCAGAGAGATCCACTCAACACCAGCTAGGTTATTTCGGGATGAACACATAGTTTAATTTCAATAATTTGCTTGCACGTAGGGGTCTTTGTGGAACACTCAACACAAACTAGGTCATTTTGGGACTAACATATTGTTCAATTTTATTTCAATAATCCACTTGCGTGTAAGTGTCTTTAGCAGTGGGAGGAAACAGAGGGACCCGGAGAAAAACCACAAGGTTGTACAGGCGACCCTACTCCTTTTCACGTACAGCTGGGGAATCGAAACCACGCCAGTTGGCTCAATGACAGACTTTATGGTACTCGCGCTTTATAGTTTATATTACATTTCAGGAATAAAAAAAGACCAGCTATAATCAGATTTAACTCTTGAATAATGTATGTTTAATGTCCATTATTCACTCGACAGAAAATAGATCATTTTGAAACTAACATGTGGTTCTTTTTTATTTTCTCAGATCTGAATTAACAAAGAAAGCAGAAGAAGCATCTATTAAAGTATTTGCTGATAATTTAAAGAGTTTATTATTACAGCCAACAGTTAAAGGTAAAACAGTTCTAGGAATTGATCCTGGTTTCTCTAATGGATGTAAATCAGCTGTTATATCACCTACAGGTTAGTAGAAGTTAAAACACAATTTAGTAGGGTGACCCACCATAAATAAATATCTCCATATATCTCGACAATTTCGCCACAATATTTATATATATGCCAAGCCACAAATCAGTTTCACACAATTATAGTCACTAAATAAACGATCATGTTGTACTTAATAAGCTATGACCATTAATCATCTATAAATAATAGACTGAAAACTGGTTCCATGTGTCGTCCATAACATCCAGACACTTTTGAGTAAAAGATAGGTTACGTGCCCTTGTTTTGAAATTAGAGTCGCTTAACCAGTCTATCGACCATTCTAAGGCTGATTGACAGGTCGGGATAATCAAGTCTACTTTTTTACGAAACATAACAGAAAGCTAGAACAAGAAATTGAATTAAGAAATGAGCACGTTAGCTAGCTCAACAATTGTTTTAAGAAGCTTGTAAAAGTAAAATGAAACTACTGCTAGTATCATGTTCCTGTCTAACCCGAGTATTTCAGAGATAGTATTTGTACTAAACCAAAAGATGCCGCTCTAAACAGTACAGTTAATGATAAAGCGATTTAAAAAATGAAATGAACGTAATTTCTAAATCTGCTGTAATAACCAAGAAGCTTAATTTTACTGCTATTCAAAATCGTCAACAATAAATTTTTTACGGCTGTAATAGTTGATAGATTTGTAGAGAATTGCACGTGCCATGGCTATTTATAGTATCATACTGTCAGAAAGTTGGCCTCGACACGGCGAATGTGCACGCTTCAGTGGTAGTCTCGAACTATCAGCGGTTGACTGTATTTCTGTAGGTGCATGGGCCACCCTAAATTTAGAAAAGAATTGATGGAAAGGCAGACACAATTACCCTCATAGCCTAGCCTGGACGTATATTGTCACAGGTCACAATTCTTATCCTATTTTGAGGAAACCTGAAATGTAGATTTATCTCCAAATGATCTCAGTTCCTTTCGATATTGGCATGTATAGGATCGAAACTTCATGGATTATGGCCCCTGATTATACGAAAAATCATGTTTTTAGCTTTCGGATACTCTAGAGGTCACAATTTTCATCTGATTTTGATGAAACTTGAAATGCGTGTTTATAAGTCAAAGATCTTGGCTCCTTGTGATATTCGCTCACATCGGATCGTACCTTCCTGAATTATGGCCCCCGATTGTACGAAAAGTCGCGTTTTCAGGTGGGGATCCCTCTAGAGGTCACAATTATTATACGATTTAAAAATTTGTTTGAATATATCACCGTTACACCCTAATGTGAGTTGAGTTCAAATTTCGTAAAAATCAGACAGAAACTGACGGACAAAATGGCCGCCCCTCATACGCAAATAGTGTAAAAATGTGGTATATCAAGATTGTGGAGCGTCTAGAGGCCACAATTTTGATGAAACTTACGTTAATATCACAAAGGTCTTGTTTCCTCTCCATAATTGTACATATCCGGACGTAACTTTCTGGATTATGGCCCCTGATTGTACGTAAAATGACCTTTTTTTTTTTTTTAGCATGTTCTCTATCCATCTCTTGCAAAATGTGGGCGTATCTTGCCTGGCAACCACTGATTTCGGTTGATCCCATTCCAAATGAAGTGTGATACTTTTGTTTCCGCGATACCTTTTAGTAACTTTGAAACACATCAGTAGTTTTTGCCAATTAAGAATTCTCTTTTTTGGTTAATTTTTTGTTTCCACAAAAACATATTTAAGTTGGTATTTGATATTCAAGCGCAAGAGTGAGCGTCTTGTTTAATATGTTCAATTTTTTTTTTTTTTTTTTTTCCAGGTCAAATTTTAGCTACAGTTGTTTTGTATCTACATGATCACCGATCAAATAAGTCTAAAGAGAAAGATAAACTAATAGATACAGTTATTAAACATAGGTAGGTCTACCTGGTGATATCACCTTTAATTAAACATAGGTAAGTCTCGTGATATCATCTGTAATTAAATAGATACAGTTATTAAACCTAGGTAGGTCTACCTGGTGATATCACCATTAATTAAACATAGGTAGTTCTCGTGATATCATGTGTAATTAGATAGATACATCTATTAAGCTTAGGTAGGTGCACTAAAAGATCCTTTGAAAGCACAACAGAGCAGTCATACTGACTGAATGTTCAGCTGATAGAAAACGATTATTATTATTAAGTTGGAATAGTAGGCGGTAGCTCCTGTCTCCAGGCAAAAAATCCTTCATTGCGTACTTCATGGCAGAAGGGGAGCCACAGTGACTAAGTGAGTAAGACGCTGGCTCCCTAGTCTGCACATTGCTTGTTCGATCCCTCATTGGGCGAGAAAGTTCATTAGAATTTTCCGACGTGGTTTCCCCTCATACAAATTTTGGTGTAAAGACATGACCATTTGTTTCTCTGACTATAGTGAAAACGAAAATTTGGGGAAAAGTTGGAGCCAGCGTGAAAGCAGAATTAACATTGAAGTCAATGGAGAAATTAATGGTTATCTGCCTCCTGATGTAATCTGTTACATTACTGAGTTATTTCCCGTTAAAAACTAGTGTTGTTTTATCAACTAGCCGCAAATTCCAGCCAAGCTGGACTCTTCTCTTTCATATCTCAATGTTTTCTATTCTGTTATATTGTACCTACATTTATAACCTGATATCCTCTGACTTATAGAACATAACATCTTCTAGTTAAATCTGAATTATAGTCCCTAATAACATCTTTTAGTTATTCGGAGGTTGGATGACCAAAGGTATGTCATTGAATTAACTGGGGGGGTTTGGATTCCCCTGTCCAACCATGTCATTTTTTCTGTGTCCTCCGGTTTCCTCCAAATGCTAAACACCCCTACAATCAAGCGAATTATTGAAATCAAATTGAACCATATGTCAGTCCCGAAATATGTTAGTTTGTGTCAAGTGGACATTAAATCGCATTGCTCAATTTCTTCTCTGTGTCTGGTTTTATCTGAATTAAAGAACCTAAAATAGTCTATTATGGTTACACTTTCTTGTCAGCCCCACAGTAGAAACAAAGCTTGCAATTTATTACATTACCATAATATTATATTTTTCAGGTGTGAAGTAATTGCCATAGGAAATGGTGTTGGTTGCCGGGAAACAGAAAAATTTGTTAGTGATCTCATCCAATCAAAACACTTTAAACCTCTAGAAGTATACTACAGGTACAATATATTATTTATACTACATCAGAGGTCAAAGAGCATCAGAGGTTGTTTTGTTAAAATTTTGTATTTCTACTCTTATCAGCTGTCTTCTGGAGCTTAAAACACACATAAAATATTCTAGCTAAAGATGATTTTTATGTTGAATATAGAACAACCACTTACTGTTTTATATTTGTGGCAAATGATCCCAAACCGTAACATTCGTAACATACGAATTTCCAGTACATTGAAACACCTGTTTAGACATTGGTGTGCATCGAAGCCCCAGTACCAGATTTGCTTTTCGACTTCACAGGCCGAATCGTATATTGTTTTTATATGCCCAGGATTGTGGTCGCTCTAGATGTCACAATTTTTATCAGATTTGAGTTTGAATTTTGTGAAAATTGTACTGAAACTACCTGACAAAATGGGCACTCCTCGTACGCAAATAGTGTGAAAGTATGTAATACCATGGTTGTGGACGATTAGAATTTTATCCGATTTTGATGAAACTTAAAATATATGATTATATCCCAAAGATCTCAGTTCCTTTTGATATTTGCGCATATTGGACCTAACTTCCTGGAGTATAGCCCCTGATGGTACAAAATTCGTGTATTTAACTTGTGGAACCTCTAAGAGATCGCAATTTGTATCAAATATATCACTGTTACATCCTAATGATGGTTAATTTCGATTTTCGAACCAAAATTACCTGACAAAATGGCATATTTGTGTATTATTGATGAAAGTTTATAAATATTTCAGTATCGTTGATGAAAGTGGAGCATCTATATATAGTGTATCACCTGAAGCACAGAAAGAATTACCTGACTTGGATCCTACTCTACGTGGTGCAGGTAAGTACATTGGGATTAAAGTAGTGTCCAAGGGGTCACGAGTTAGATCTCAGTGTTAGCAAAGAACGTACCTCAGGATTTTGCAACATGGTTTTCCCTTGTTAGTACTTACACTGTAGCATGTGCACGCTGTATCATAAGATCTGCTATTGAGTCAACTGGCATGGTTTCAATTCACTGGTTGTACATGACAAGAACTAGGGTCATCTGTCCAACCTCGTGGGCTTTCTCCAGGTCCTCCGGTTTCCCCCCACTGCTTAAGACCCCTATGTGCAAACGAATTATTAAAATAAAATTGATCCATATGTTAGTCTTGAAATGACCTAGTTTGTATCAAGTATTAAACTCTCTCTCTCTCTCTGTCCCTCTCCCTCTCTCCCTTCCCGCTCTTAGTGTATGGAATTTACAATTATTTATTGTAATATTACCCCAGATTGTAATAATAAGCAAGGTTTGTTTGATTTGATAATAAACAATAGTTTATTTTTATAGTTTCTATATCTCGACGATTACAAGATCCATTAGCAGAATTAGTTAAAATAGAACCTAAACACATTGGTGTTGGCATGTATCAGGTATGTCATATCTTCATTATCGCAGATTAGACCAGAAACATTAAAGATATATTATGGGAGATTAGATAAAGAGCTGGCAGTTCTCTCTACAATAGTTAAAAACTAGATAATGTAAAGGCAATTTGCTGAAAATTTCTGTCAAATTGATCCATCCTGAACCAAGAATTTAGCAATTGAATTTTCGGCCTAGCCTCGATCATCATTACTAAAGGTGGTAAGATAAAAAACATAGTCTTGATTATCCAGTTCATGATTAAATCATGAATGGAAGTCGAGCAGCAAATGGGATCATAATCCAGTAAATATCTCAGGCTAATGATGACATCGAGAGTTGATTATGGCCTGGATAGGTTAATTAATGTCTAGTTAATACTTTAGATAACATTTCAGGCCTAAAGAAAGACCTGCAATAAGCCGATTTAGCTCCTGCATAATGTATGTTTAATTTTTTTGAGATTAGAAATGTAATTAAATTTAATGTAATGGGGTTTAACATTCTACTTTATCCAGACAACTGAAGTGTGCCATAGGGGAATTTTACCAGAACAGTGGCACAACAGCTACTGTTGTATTAATTCCTAATGTCAAGGTCTCTCTCTCTCTCTCTCTCTCTCTCTCTCTCTCAAAACAAAAAGAAAGTGTGAGAAATGAAATGTTATATTTGACTTTTCATCTATCCCATTCAGCATGATATAGCAGAAGGTAAATTAAAGATATCCTTAGATTCTGTCATTGAAGAATGTGTTAGTTTTGTTGGTGTGGATCTCAATACTGGTAGTGAGTGTCTACTGAGGTAAGATTTACAGGTCTTTTCTACTGATCATTATGATTTTCATTAATAATGTATTGTACTATGGAGAGGAAATGCTGCCATAATTCCAACTTCTATCTCACAAATTGGTAGTTAGAGAGAAAGAGAGAGAAATGGGGTTTAACATCCACTTGACACAAACTTGGTCATTTTGAGACTAACATTGTTCCATTTTATTTCAATAATTTGCTTGCGCTTAGGAGTCTTTAGCAGTAGGAGGAAACCGGAGTACCCAGAGAAATCCCACGAGGTTGGACAGGCAACCCTACTCCTTGTCACATACAGCCAGGGAATCGAAACCACGCCAGCTGACACAATGACTTACTTTATGATACAACACACATACGCTAACCATTCGGCAATCCACCCCCCTTGGAAGTTAGAAATTAGAATTGAAATAGGTTCAGAAGTTGGAATTATGGCAGGGGTTCTCCTCCATATTGTACAAGGATTTTTTGCAGTAGTAATGAACAAGTTAATTTTAAATTATATCTGGAAAATGTTAGAAATTAACAGTTGTATAGCTGGTGTTGAGAGTATAATTTGCATCATTTTCTTCACTTTTTAGTCTCAAAATAACCAAGGTGATGTGTTTTTTCTTCAAAAATCAAGGTTGAGTTTCTGTATCAGCAGAATATAGCTGGTTTATGTTGTTATAAAGTGAAACTGTTTCCATTTTAGATGAATAGTTGGTTTATGACACTGTAACCTGGGTATCATTTAATCTTGTGTATCTAGCACTAATTTCTTTCACGTTCATTTAATGTAAAATCTTCGTTTAATGTCCAATTTACAGGTATTTAATTTCATGACCACAGTTCAAAAATTAATTATTATACATCAATAATCAATTGGGTTGTTTATTTTTTAACTGTACACTTGTAAATTGAACACTCATTATCAAAATTGAATGGTCAGCGTTTAACTGGACACAAGTACAAATTAGATGAATTTTGTTGGTTTGATATTGAACGAATGTGGAAGAAATTAGTGCTAAATACACAAGATTAGATAATACCTGGGTTACAGTGTGTAAAGAAACTGTTTATATTATAGAAGAATAGCTGATTTATGTTGTTGAAACTGTTTTTATTTTAGATGAATAGCTGGTTTATGAAATAAAACTGTTTGTATTTTAGGAGAATAGCTGGTTTATCTTCAGCCAAAGCTAAAAAGATTATTGAATGGAGAGATAAAAACAATAGATTTATAAACAGGCAACAATTACTCAGTGTTAAAGGTTTAGGTCAGAAGAGTTTTGAACAGTGTGCTGGATTTGTTCGTATTTTAAACACAGATAATAGTAATACCTCTAATAAAACTGATAGGTAAGATTTATACAACATTGGGCTAATGACAGTGTGCTGGATTTGTTCGTATTTTAAACACAGAATATAGTAATACCTCTAATAAAACTGATAGGTAAGATTTATACAACACTAGGCTAATGACAGTGTGCTGGATTTGTTCGTAGTTTAAACACGGATTATGGTAATACCTCTAATAAAACTGATAGGTAAGATTTATACAAACACTAGGCCCCCAGTTCACAAAACATTTTCAGACTTAAGTTAAAAATTTACTCAACTTTCAATCACTGTTTATGAGAAATATCTTTGATTCAGAAATACATAGTTTCTTATTGATGTATTTGATACATTAAAACAACAAAAGTTTTATAAAGGGCCATATTTTAGTTAAAATAAGGCGATCAGTTTTCAGTGCATTCTTCACTTAAGTCTTAGAATTCTTTGTGAACTCGCGGTTAAGCTAATGACAGTGACGTCATGCTCAGTTGCTGGTTCATGGAGTATACTCATATCTGTGCCAAAAACTTCAGATCAGTGAATTATGATCAACGTCATCTGGGTAATTTGTGAACGTTACACACTCATCTGGAGCTGCAGTGGATCAGTGAGTAAGATGCTAGTTCTCAAACCAGGAAGTATCGGGGTTCGCTCCCAATGTTGGCCGAAAAGTTCCTCAGGATTTTCAGGTGAAGTTCCCCCTTGTCAATGGTGCAGGATGGACGGCCGGACAATGACAGTTGTCTAGTCGTTTGTATGGGACAAAAAACATTGTCCTGTGTGCACATTGCTATGCACATTAAAGAACCCAGACATTTGGAAACCCTCTTAGCACACTGTATCACATACGCCCTTCTCCGTTAGTCCACAGGGAGAGAGAGAGAAATGGGGTTTAACGTCCACTCGACACAAACTAGGTCATTTCGGGACTAACACATGGTTCAATTTTTTATTTCAATATTCACTTGTGCGTAGGGGTCTTTAGCAGTGGGAGGAAAACGGAGTACCCGGAGAAAACCCACGAGGTTGGACAGGCAACCCTACACCTTGTCACATACAACCGGGGAATCGAAACCCCGCCAGTTGACTCAATGACAGACCGTGTGATACAGCACGAGCACATGCTAACCATTCGGCCATCCAACCCCCCACAGGGAGCAGTGAAGTAGGACGTTAAACCCCATTTCATTGATTTAGTCATCCATTCTTTTACAGTGATATTAAAACAGAAGTGAAACCAAACAGTATAAAGCGGAAAACAACAACAGCGTCGACTAGTAAAACTAAGAAACAGAAAATGGAGGCTGACCTTGAACCTAATCCACTCGACATGACTCCAATACATCCAGAATCATATCACATAGCAACCAGTTTTATAGCAGACGTCGGTGAAGATATTAACCATATCGGACGACAAGATTTTATACAAAATATTAAATCATTCCTTAACAAACATGGTAAGTACTGTGTCATATTTTAGGAAATTTGGGTGGCCAAGTCGTCTAATAAATAGCTAAGTCTCTAACTCAATATCATCCAAAGTCTTCGACATTAAAAACGGGAATTATTTGTGAATTCAAATCAACATTGATGTTGTGGTCTTACCAGGAAAAGATGGGCTTCTGATTTAAGACAAAATAAACAGCTCCATTTGTAAAAAAGGACTCGAAGAACAACGCTAGACATATTCCACAAGTGATGTCAAACAGTGATGCCATATTCTTGTCTAGAGAGCATGCACAAACAATGCTATCAGTGTAGACTGGAATAACCAGCTGTCTAGTCATTCGGATTGTATGAAAAACTGAGGCCCTGTGTATACATTGGCATGCACGTACAAGATCCTTTTACAGTTGGAATTTGATATAAGAGTAGGCTGTAGTGCCACTGTCTCAGCTAAACTTCCCTCATAGCTTACTGTATGGCATATGCTCAGTCGGAGCAGAACAGTAGGATGTTAAACCCCATTTAATTTCATTTTTACATACACTGTTATTTATTTCAGATGTCAGTGATTTAACAGAGACATATTCTACGGGTGAACCAACCCTTGTCTTGATAACAGAAGCTTTAACTAAAACAAAATCTTATGATATTCGAGAAGGTAAGTTGTTTCTGGACTTGGACTCATTTAGTACACATAACGCTGGCTCGCTAACCTGGAAGAGGGGGTTGGGATGGCCTAGTGGTCTAGAGTGTCGCGCTTCAAACTCTAGCTAGCTAGCCGGTCACCTCTGGCTTACGGTTGTGGTTTCGATTCCTGGTGTGAGTGTATGTGGCTTGGAGAAAGGGGTGCCTTCTCAACCTCGTGGATTTACTCCAGGTACTTCGGTTTCCTCACAGGGGAACAACATCTGTGCGTGCGCTAAGCCTAATAAAATAAAATAACTTGACTGCGATATCACCATCGGTGGAAGTGGAGGTTAAAAACACTAATAGAATAGAACCTGGAAGTGTTTGTTTCACTCTTGGTGTCGGCCGAAAAAATTCCTGGGGGTTTTCCCTTGTCGGTAGTGCAGGATGGACAGCCAGAAAAGCAACAGTGTTAGTCATTCGGATGGGCTGAGGAAAAACTGAGGTCCTGTGCACACATTGATGTGCATGTAAAAACAACATTGACGGTTGGAATTCGAAATAAGAGTAGACCATAGCGGCACTGTCAGGGCTCTGTATGGTGCTGTCTTGATTAGCCCATTCGGTGCAGAAATGTAAGACATCAAACAGCATTTCATTTCACAGAAATTCTACTCATCAAACTTATAGTGCTCTTTGCTAATTCGATATTTCTTAAACAATGGTGCTGGATGTTGATATCAAAGTCTTCGTAGGTGTCTTTTGGTTTTTTTTAATATAATATACACATTCAACATTTGGGTGAGAAATCAGAAACCGTTGTTTAAACAAGTTTTGGGGTGGGTGGGAAATCAGAAACTGCTGTTTAAACAAGTTTTGGGGTGGGGGTGGGAAATCAGAAACTACTGTTTAAACAAGTTTTAACTAACAGTTAAACGGTGGAATAATTATTTTTTTGATTATTTTGTTTTTAGGAAATCAGAAACCACTGTTTAAACAAGGTATAACTGGTATAGAAGACCTAAAAATAGATTCAATTTTAACGGGACGAGTGACAAATGTGACCCATTTTGGTGCCTTTGTGGACGTGGGCGTTGGCAATGATGCTTTGATACATTCCAGTAAAATGTGTACATCTAAAGGGCGTCAGACACTTCATCTAGGAGATCGTGTTCAAGTTCGGGTGTTGAATGTTGAAGCCGCGAGAAAACGAATCTCTGTAGCATTAGTTGATATTTTGTGATAAATACAACCAAGTATAATTGTTTTCATGGTTCCAGACTCTCCGATCATGGTTTCTAGTTGGGAGGAAAAAAATTGAATTTTTTTTTTATATAAAAATTATGATCAATTTTGGCTGAAATAAATTAAAAGCCAGTATTAGAGCTTTTCACAACATAAGGTGAAACTAGCCCAAGGATAGTGCTGGATTAGGCATTAAGCAAAATAAGCACTTGCTTAGGGCACCACAGAATGTCTGCTGTGTTAGTTGCCAAATATTTATACTGTTTGAATGGCGTTTAATAATTGAACACATTAAAATAAACACAAACGCTCTATGGATCAACAATTACTATACTTTAATCGGAGCTATGTATCTACAATGATTATATTGTCATTTGCTTGAAAACAACAAGATAATCATTAATTAAGAACTTTCAGGTAGTTTTTCATTGTTTTCGTTATTTCATAGTGTTACCTGTTTTGTCACAGTTAATAATGACATGTATAAAATCCCAGAAAAACACCTCATCACGTGATTGGCAGTTGTTTGTAGCTTCTTATTGTTTATATTTTGACATGGTGCACCAAAAGTGCTTAGCGCCTCCGTGGGTTGTCTTACTCCGTCTCTGCCCAACGAACCGTATCATAATAAAACAGGACTTTTGTTTCACTTATATTTGCCGGTCCTGACTGACCAGCAGTGATAATGACCGACTTAAGAATTTAAATGTCTGTCAATTTATATGCCTTGGGGGAAAAAATGAAATGAAATGGGGATTTAACTTCCTACTGTTTTGCTCCCACTGGGCTAATAAAGACAGGCATATGCCATGCAGTGTGCTGTGACAGTGGAATTTTGTCCAGACTGTGGCGCTACAGGCTACCCTTATTTCGAATTCCAACTGTCAAGGGTTCTTTTACATGCATGCCAATGAGTACACAGGACCTCATACCATCCAAGCGACTATACATTGTCCCTTGCCAATTTCCCCCTTGTCATTAGTGCAAGATTGGGGCCTTTCAATGGACAACGTATAGTCATTTGGATGGGACAATAGTGAGATGGTTAACCCCATTTCATATAATCTGTTATCTTTGCTTTTTGTCTGTAGGGGGTTGGATGGCTGAATGGTTAGCATGTGCGTGTTGTATCATAAGGTCTGTCATTGAGTCAACAGGCGTGGTTTCAATTCCCCAGTTGTACGTGACAAGGAGTAGGGTTGCCTGTTCAATCTTGTTGGTTTTCTCCGGGTATTCCAGTTTCCTCCCACTGCTAAAGACGCCTACGCGCAAGCGAATTATTGAAATAAATGGAACCATGTGTCAGTCCCGAAATGACCTAGTTTGTGTCGAGATGACGTTACACCCTCTTTCTCTCTCTCTCTCTCTCTCTCTCTCTCTCTCTCACTGTCATAACCTTGTCTTACATAAACCCTGTTTACATTACATATTTTAAGCGTACCAGGTGCGGCACGCTTTGCTTTTCTGTAGTGTAAACAGGTCAAACGTAAGCGCGCCGCGCCTGGTACGGTGCCAATCTGGCACTAACCGGTCTGAGCACGGATTACTGCGCAAGCGCCAAATGAACCTTGACCTTTTTCCCCGCAAACTGCGACAGCTCTGTCATCATATCTGTCAAAATGGCTGCTCAAACTAAATGGACACAGCTCACCAAATATTTCCACGCCGTCACCGTCACCCACGAATGTAGGGCAAAAGTTATTTTTAGTCTTTCTCTCCCTTTCCCTTTTCCCCCTTCACCAGGTTTTGGTGAATATTCATGATTTTGAGGCGGAAGGATACAAGAGTTGAGAGGTTGGTTAGGTTGAAATGTAGGGTCCAAAATTGCATGTTTTCTTGTCTCTACTTCCAGCTTGTTTATCTCAAGTTTTTCATGGTGAACCTCATACGTGCTTTTGGGCAAGAGGTTGCCACATGTTGCTCCATCTGTGGTAGAAAGCTTCTACCCAACGAAAATTTGGGAAAAAGTTAGAGCCGGTCTAAGAGAGGAGAATTAACATTAAAGTCAATAGGCAAATGTTTAGTGATCTGTGGCAAAATGAACCATCATAATTGTTTTCATCTGGGTAATTTGTATAGGGACTGAAATTAACTTTCCTGTGAAGAGTTCCACATTTAGCGTGCTTGGCACGGTTCTGAGACCGTTTTTTTTAAATTTCTTGAAATTTATCGCGGCTTGGTACCGTGCCCAGAACGGCACGCTTATCGCGGCCAAGTGTAAACGGGGCTATAGTCTTAAACATCATACTCGGCTTTGCTCATTTGTGTTTGAAACACAATTTCATCTTCCCCTAGTCGTGAAGTTGGGGGATTGGAGGGGTCCTCATAAGAGAAATGGCCCAGGATATTTCTTCATCTAAATCAAAAATTTCACAATCTTTAATGGCACCTTGAAATTATTGAGATCTGTCGTAATTTACAATAGTAACATTAATGTTACAACGGTTAACGAAATCTTTGATTTGGGTACGATAATAAAATGGCCGATTTTATTTGTTATTTGTTTTTGTGGGATGACAATATATGTCTCCTGGGAAAAGCTATAGATAAAGCTAATACTCAGCTGTGACCGATTTATTTCAACTAATGAATTGAATAAAGGCAGTTATTTATTCTGATTTCAATCAGCATGTTTATTAGCTCCTTTACATTTGAATACAATAGAAAAACAAAATGAAATTATCTAAAATAAGCTTGGCTATGATCAAATGTTGAATTAAAAATATATAAGCATTATGGATATAAAAATAATACGAGTGTAAAACCTATATTAATGGTCAATATTGCACCACTTCACACTTTATGATATAATACAATATTCATTATACCACATAACAATGTTCTAACAAGAAATAAATAATTCTTGCCACATAAAATGATAATTCATATTAACATAAATCATTACGTTTGAATTAACATAGTGATATTCAAATTAACATAAATAGTTATGTTCGAATTAAACATAAATAGTTATGTTGGAATTAACATTATAAAATAATTTTATAAATTAAGTAAAATAAAATAAGTAATTCTTGCCACATAAAATGATAAATTAAATTAACATTAAATTCATTACGTTTAACGTAACATAAATCGTGATGTTCGAATTAACATAAACCATTATGTTCGTATGAATCGAAATCGTGATGTTCGGATTAACATAAATCGTCATGTTCGAATTAACACAAATTATTATGTTTGATGTAACATAAATCGCCATGTTAGAATTAACATAAACCATTATGTTCGAATTAACATAAACCATTATGTTCGAATTAACATAAACTATTATGTTCGAATTAACATAAACCATTATGTTCGAATTTATGTTCATATTAACACATCCGTATGTTCAGATTAACATAAATCACGATCTTTATATTATAATATTCAGATTTATTTGTGATATCTAATTTAACATAAAGCATGCAATTCAAATAAACATAAATTAAATTATGATATTCACATTATGGATTATGATATAAATTACAATGCCTTTTCATTTAAAAGAAGCCACATATAACGATACTCAAAACAGTAATAACTGAATATGAAACATAACATATAAGACAGACGTATTGCAAGTTAACAATAATAATGTGGATTCGAGCTCAATTTTAAAAACTAGTATATACAAAACATGTACTCTATTTACATAAAAAAAAAGTAAGTTTAAATACGTTTTGGGGGAAATTCGTTCTTTGCTAGGTAAACAGAGATGGGTTTGGGGCTATGAATACATACATATAATATTTGCCGAATGAACACAAATACTGGAAAAGCTATCAATAAATCCAGTATATACAAAACATGTACTCTATTTACATAAAATAAGTCTAAAAACTCTTGAGGGAATATTCGTTCTTTGCTAGGTAAACAGATGGGTTTGGGGTTATGAATACATACATTAATATTTGCTGAATGAACACAAAAACTGGTAGAGCTACCAAGAAGAGTCAGTGGCCCAAGTGCCACTATCCGAAAAAGAAATTGACGCCAGAGGAGAAATAATATCTATGAGTAGGGCGCTAGTCACGAATTCTTCACCGCAATGAAGGTGCAAGGAAACCAGTTGGTCCGAGGTTTCATAGCTACCCAGTCCGCCCCTGACTCGCCTTAGTGAAAGATAAAGTTGATTAGCAGATTGGTAGATATATTTCATGTATCACAAATGAAGTTTGAGGGTTTCGTTGAAAATTAATTTATTTAATCTTGACATAGTTCGTACGAGACAGTTGGGACATTTTAAATTAAGGATTATAAATAAACAGCTTCCTAAATTCTTCATTTCTTTGACTTGCATAGATATACTGTCAGCTGAAATAGGGATAACATAATAATTAACAACGGCTATAGGAGCCACGGTGACTCTGTTAGTATAACGCTAGCTCATTAGGGGGGTTGGATGGTCGAATGGTTAGCACGCGCGTGCTGCATCATAAAGCCTGTCATTGAGTCAACTGGCGTGGTTTCGAATCCCCGGTTGTACGTGACAAGGAGTAGGGTCGCCTGTCCAATCTCGTGGGTTTTCTCCGGGTCCTCCGGTTTCCTCCCACTGTTAAAGACCCCTACGCGCAAGCGAATTATTGAAATAAAATTGAACCATATGTTAGTCGAGTGGACGTTAAACCCCATCTCTCTCTCTCTCTCTCTCTCTCTCTCTCTCTTTCTCTTTCGCTAGTTCATTAACCAGTGCGTCATCGGGGTGGATCCCAGGGTTGGCCGAGAAAGTTTCGCGCGACTTTTCAGAACGGTTTCCCCTTGTCAGCGGGTGTCTGTGGCAATGAACAACGTTTAGTCTTTCGGCTTTCGGGTGGGACAAAAACCGAGGTCCTGCATATACATTGGCATATATGTAAAAGAACCCTTGCTAGTTGGAATATCCACTGTCCGGACAAAACCTCTCCTAGCACACTACATTTCATACCGGTCCCATAAAATAGTATTTTGTTACTCCTAATGAAAATTGGTTCCGTTTCTAATCTGCCCAGCAACTGCTGAACGAAGTAATATTAAATAGGTTGCTGTGAAACCATTGTAGGACCATGGAGAAGACACAACACCAGCAGACTAGCTTACCATGTATGATATTTTAACAGCGCGTCATATGGAAATCAATATGGCATTGGCGAATTTCAAATGAAGTACGCCACGTTTGGGAGAACCTATTACAACCCAAATGTATAAACAAGGAGATTGTGAAAATACACAAACATTTACTTACGTCATCCATATAACCCTTGAAAGAACTGAAACCGGTTCCACGTCCTATCTGTAAAGCACATTGTCTTCTACCAATAGCACCTGAAACATAATAAACAAAGTCTTGATTATCCATTTTTACGGTAATCGCATCGACCACAAAACGTATTTAAATCTACTTAATATCCGATAGCACGGAGAGTTGATTGTGGTCTTGGTAACATTTCTGTTATAACATTTCGGGCCAAAAGAAAGACCTGTCGATTTAGCTCTCGCATGTTTAATATATATCTGGTATAAATATAGGACTGATTAAAAGGGCGTTCCCGAAAGTAACAGCCTCGAGTCTGACAGGAGAGAAATATCAAATGATCTATATGAACCTAGATATTTTATAATGCTTACCTGCATAAGTCTGTGAGGACTCGTCGTTAACACTTCCTGTTAAAACGTTACCATCTAAATAAAACATGGTTTCCTTCCAGTCATCCCCCTGTAATAATATTAATATCTCACTTATAACAAACAGGGAAACAAGGTTCATGTAAACGCCAACATATGCACGGAACATATCGGACGTACAAGGTTTTATTTTTTAGGACGGGGCAGAGTGGCCCTTCGTATAAGTAGGGGGTCTCGGGTGCGATACCGGTGTTTGCCGATAAAGTTTCTTGGGATTTTCCAACATGATTTCGATGTAAAATGGTCCTCGCAGTACACTGCATTTCCTACGCCGATTTCATTAGCTCAATTGTTGCATAAGAGTAGGAAGTTCAATCCATTAAACAGATTAACACCGCTGAAACATTTGTCGAATGACAATCTTTAATTCCATCCAATGGACCCGACTATGTAATATAACATCCTACTTGTGATAAACTATAGCACATACTTATGGAAAACAGCTACAAATTTATTTTAGGCGACGCTTCGAAGAGTAGCTGTTTTCCATAAGTACGTATGTGTTATAGTCTATTGCTCTATCCAGTTACTAAGTGCCTCTAAAAGATTATCTTACTTGTGATTCAACTGTTACACCAGAAGCTCGACCTGTTGTCGTCTTCATTCCGAAAGCTGTTGTCTTATCGCCGGCTACAATATACAGGGATCCAATCACGCCACAGTCACCATTAGAAATCAGGGCCTGTTTCCTTGTAATCGGGCTGCCCTTATAGTATTTAAACTTTATCATAAGATGAGAGCCGAAGTCCATGTTGGAGAATCTTGGAATTCTTAACGAACTCTTGCCGTCGAAATAAGCAGCCCCGCCCGACACCTTGACACCATCGTTATAGATGTAGTTCTCATTTCCTGAATGATCTTTGATGTTATCATCGTCATCATCAAATGGCAGATAAATAACAGGCGTACATTCTGAAAAATATTGTAAAATGAATTATGTAAACTAGCTATAACCAAGGGGAGATAATTGAATTATGTAAACCAGCTATAACCAAGGGGAGATAATTGATATAGATATAGTTATAGTCGCGATCCACTTTTATCTCGAAGTGCATAAGCATTTTTAACCCCTTTAAACCATCTGTAAAATCCCATATAAGAATGACGTAGGAATGCCCCAGCATGTCTAAACATGTATCTATGACAATATATTTGATGTATTTGCGGGCAAATATTTTGCAAGAAATAAAGAAAAACAAGTCAGGGGTCTTCGGTATTTTTCGGTTAAATCATTTTAAATCGATGCGACCGAATGCAACTCGGTGTCGCGACTGATATCTATATTTTATTACACCCCGTAGTTCCCCAGGATGTGTCAGCGTCGTGGGTTCTACTTGTCAGGGGCGCAGGACGAGTGGCTTGGCAAGGACGAGATGATAAACCGAGGTCCCGGGTATTCATTGACGTACGTGGAATTTAATGCAAAACAGTTTCAATTAAAGATTTAACTTTTGTCTCACCTGTTTTTTCTGGAGTTGGTGTCCTGTAGAGAAGAGAACAAGAACACGTATCCATGCTATAGGCGGTACCACCAGCACACGGCATTGTTAACCATCCATGACCCGGAACTAGTTGTAGAAACTTTGTAGGTGATCCACTGATGGGACGTTTATCACAAACAGCTGTAACGTTCAAATGTATAAATAAATATCGAGTATGAATAACATTAGGATAGAACAAATCTGATTAGATTCCTCGAAGCCTGTCGCCAAAGGCATGGAGTAGGTGTATCCCTAACACTTTAGGACACTAGACGGCCACAAGCGCGTGTGCCTGCTGTTACGGAACGTGGGTACAGTAACCAGAAAGTGTGTAGTTTTGCAACCTCAATCCAACTCTCTATGCCGGCCTGATTTCCAAAATTAAACACTGTTATATATTGGTGTGTGGGGGGGGGGGGTATACGCATGATTATAGACTATATGGACTTGGCCTTACTCGCTGCATGTAGGTTTGGTTTACATCCAGGGTACCGATGGGTAACGCATGTCAGGCCCACTCGACACAAGCTATGTCATTTCGGGACTAACATACGGTAAATCGTATTTCAATACTTCGATGCGCTTAGAGGTCTTTGTCAATGTATGGAAACCGGGGGACCCACAGAAAACCCACGAGGTTGGGTAGACATCCTTGTCAGACTTTATGCTCTAAAGCACACGCATTAGACCCCCCCCCCCACACACACACACACCAATCTTCCACCACATCAATAAACGGATACCTACTGTTAATAGCTATTTCTGAACATCCATCTCTACAGCTGATGTTAGGTAGGCATCTCTGAGCGTTCTGGTCATAACCTTGACCTTGTGGACAACACCGACCTCTGGATACACCGCCTTGACACACCCAATATTTCCCACAACTACTTGAATCACGATAGGAACTGATAGTACCATAGCGACGACATTTATCTAAATTAATGGTAAACAAAAATAAAGAATATGCAAAAGTTAAATTAAAGTGAACTAAAATTCTTTTTCAAAGAATTCCGACTCACTATAGGTAGCATTCTTTTATTGCTTTAGTCCATGCACGTTTTGGTTCGCTTTCAGAATTTGCTAAATCATTCCAACTAGCCGTATAACATGGACTGCAATGGGTAACCTATTGTATTTGAAAAATTGATGCTCGAGTTCTCGTGGATAAAGTAATGTTTTCAGATAGTAACAACATACTCCTCCACTCCGTTTCCGATCCGGTTGGCACGCATAACATTTAAAAGGGTAACTGAGGGCTAGCAAGCTCGTCAGTTCAATGTTTTCTCATATTCCTCATTTCAATTGGTTGTACCCCAAGTCTAATTTAAGTCAATCGGTTGTATTAACTCCTGTCAAAACAACCAATGTTAAAATATTGCCTAGCATGGATAAATACTCTAAGCACGAATGCTAACTTAAGCAAGAGGTGATTGCAGAAATATCATATGGAAAAACGAAAGTAGGAAACCGGAGTACCCGGAGCGAATCCATGATAACAACCCTTAGAATCTACAGGACAGGCGTTAGACCACCCGGTCGTAGTAACGGACCGCCAAAGACCGCCATTATACTTTAGTTACGGACCGCCATTATACTTTAGTTATGGACCGATATTATACTTTAGTTACGGACCGACATTACTGGAGTTACAGACCGCCATTATACTTTAGTTGCGGACCGACATTATACTTTAGTTACGGACCGACATTATACTTTAGTTACGGACTTTAGTTACGGACCGACATTATACTTTAGTTACGGACCTTCATTATACTTGGGTTACGGACCTTCACTATACTTGGGTTACGGACCTTTATTATACTGGAATTACAGGCCGCCATTATACTTGGGTTACGGACTACCATTATACTGGAGTTACATGCCGCCATTATACTTTAGTTACGGGCCGCCATTATACTAGAGTTACAGGCCGCCATTATACTTGGGTTACGGACCGTCATTATACTGGAGTTATGTGCCGCCATTATACTTTAGTTACGGATCGCCATTATACTTAGGTTACGGACCGCCATTATACTGGAGTTACGTGCCGTCATTATACTTGGGTTACGGACCGCCATTATACTGGAATTACGGAGCGCCATTATACTGGAGTTACGTGCCGTCATTATACTTGGGATACGGACCGCCATTATACTTGGGATACGGACCGCCATTATACTGGAGTTACGTGCCGTCATTATACTTGGGATACGGACCGCCATTACACTGACGTTACAGGCCGCCATTATACTTGGGTTACGGACCGCTATTATACTGGAGTAAACGACAAACACTCACCATTATGACAGTTGACGTTTTCCGGTTTGTTACATGTTAGTCTGTTTTGATCCCAGAATAATCCATGTCCGCACTGTTTACTGTAAACTCTCACAGACGGTCCCTGACCAAACACACACTGTATAAACTTAGTACAATCAGTTGGATGATTCTTGTAGCCCACACCATTGATAATAAAACAGTCGACACATGCATCTGAAATACAACACATGGGGTTAGATGAGGACAGGATTAATGATGTCGATCACCTAAAGCACCGGACAAAAGATTAAGATAGTCTTTTTTCTGATTGGGGAAATATGTTAGTATTTAAAAATACTCTTACTTGGGGAAATTGATTTTGTGAGGGATTAGGGACTGGTGCAAAAAGCCATTTTATTTGTGATTACTGAATTTAAAAAACTCTCTTAGACCCTCATTGTAGTATGGTCCAGGAGCCTACAAAATCTTAATCTGGCTTAGGCTAAATTTTAAAGTAATTGTTTACCTGCTGGCGAAGGGGTTTCGGTTGTGGTGGTCGTTCGCTCGGTTGTGGTTGTTGTAGTTGTTGGCTCGGTTGTCGTTGTGGTAGTTGTTGGCTCGGTTGTCGTTGTAGTAGTTGTTGGCTCGGTTGTGGTTGTAGTAGTTGTTGGCTCGGTTGTGGTTGTAGTAGTTGTTGGCTCGGTTGTCGTTGTGGTTGTTGTAGTCGTTGGCTCGGTTGTCGTTGTTGTAGTTGTTGGCTCGGTTGTCGTTGTTGTAGTTGTTGGCTCGGTTGTCGTTGTAGTAGTTGTTGGCTCGGTTGTCGTTGTTGTAGTTGTTGGCTCGGTTGTCGTTGTAGTAGTTGTTGGCTCGGTTGTCGTTGTAGTAGTTGTTGGCTCGGTTGTCGTTGAAGTAGTCGTTGGCTCAGTTGTGGTTGTTGTAGTCGTTGGCTCGGTTGTCGTTGTTGTAGTTGTTGGCTCGGTTGTCGTTGTAGTAGTGGTTGGCTCAGTTGTGGTTGTTGTGGTCGTTGGCTCAGTTGTGGTTGTTGTAGTTATTGGTTCGGTAGTAGTTGTTGCAGTCGTTGTTGTCGTTGTAATGGTCGTTGGTTGAATTGTTACTTCATCTGAATCTTCACTGTCTTCTTCGGAGCTTTGATCGACAGTCGTTGGTTGTGTTGTTGTTATTGTGGTTGTTGGTTGTGTTGTTGTTATTGTGGTCGTTGGCTGGGTTGTCGTTGTTGTAGGCGTTGGCTGGGTTATAGTTGTTGTCGACGTAGTCGTTGGTAAAGTTGTTGTTGTCGTTTTAGTAACAATGGTCGTATGTTGAATAGTTACTTCAGCTGAATCCTCACTGTCTTCTTCAGAACTTTGATCGTTAGGGGGTTGAGTAGTTGATTCTTCTGAACTGTCAACTTCTGACGATCCTCCCGGTGGCGTCGGGGTAGTTAACCCCTCACCCGAATCGTCTTCGTTACTCGAATCAGAACTTTGATCGTTAGGGGGTTGAGTAGTTGATTCTTCTGAACTGTCAACTTCTGACGATCCTCCCGGTGGCGTCGGGGAAGTTAACCCCTCACCCGAATCGTCTTCGTTACTCGAATCATCTTCGCTGGAAATGTCAACATTAGTCGTTGGTACCTGAGTGATTTCCTCACCGGAATCCGCAGCACTTATTGATGCTTGCGAAGTGTCTTCTTCACTGGATTCTTCAACACTGCTAACAGTTGTTTGGGATGTTATTTCTTCGCTAGATGTTTCGACGCTTGTTGGTGCTGGCACCGTCGTTTCTTCGCTAGATTCTCCGCTGCTTGTTTGTGTCTGAGAAGTTACTTCTTCACTAGAGTCTACAGTGTTTGTTGGTGCTTGGGACGTGGTTTCTCCACTGGAATCTTCAACGCTGCTTACTGGTGTTTGGGATGTTATTTCTTCGCTTGATGCTTCCACGCTTGTTGGTCCTGGTATCGTAGTTTCTTCGCTAGATTCTCCGCCGCTTGTCTGAGAAGTTATTTCGTCACTAGAACCGCCAGCACTTGTTGGTACTTGGGACGTGGTTTCTTCTCTGGAATCTTCAACATTGCTTACCGGTGTTTGGGGTGCTATTTCTTCGCTAGATGCTTCGACGCTTGTTGGTGCGAGTGCCGTAGTTTCTTCGCTAGATTCTCCAGAGCTTGTTTGCATCAGATAAGTTATTTCCTCACTAGAGTGTTCAACGATTGTTGGTGCTTGAGAAGTGGTTTCTTCGCTGGAGTCTTCCTCGGAGTTAGTTGTTAGTGTTTGAGGTACGACTTCATTCGACTCCGCAGAGTTTGTAGTTGGTTCCTGCGTTAAAATTTCATTGGGTTCTAAAGTGTTGGTTGTTGGTTCCTGGGGTAGTACTTCATTCGATTCAAAAGTGTGGGTAGTTGGTTCTTGAGACAGCACCTCACTGGATTCTGCAGAGTTTGCTGTAGGTTCGTGAGTCAGAATTTCACTGGATTCTGCAGTGCTAGTTGTTGGTTCTTGTGGTAGAACTTCATTCGATTCCACAGAGTTTATTGTTGGTTCTTGAGTGAGAATTTCACTGGATTCTGCAGTGTTGAGTGTTGGTTCTTGTGGTAGAACTTCATTCGAGTCCACGGAGTTTGTCGTTAGTTCTTGAGTGAGAATTTCACTGGATTCTGCAGTGTTGAGTGTTGGTTCTTGAGGTAGAACTTCATTCGATTCCGCACTGTTTGTTGTTGGGTTTTGGTGCAGCACTTCATTTGACTCTGCAATAATGGTTGTTGGTTCTTGAGGTTCCTCAACGACAGTTATTGGTTGCTGTGTTGGAATTATAAAAGTTTCTTCTTTGGTAGTTGTTGGTATTTCTGCTGATGCGTGATACCTTGGGACCAAGGGGATTTCTGAAAGTTGAAAAAAATATTTTGAAACAAAATGTCAAGAAAGGAACTAATGTGAAGCCGTATTATCCTTGCACACCAACTATCATATGGGGGAATAAAGTCTTAGAAAAAAATCTACCACTCATCGTGATACATTCTTATGGGTTGAGTCACACTGGTGGATTTGCCTTGGGGAGTCATATCTTTACCCGTCTTCATTAGCCCGGATGAAGCAATTTGACGTTAAACCCCATTTCGTTACATCTATGTGAAAATCCCCTATCCCTAGAACAGCCCAGTGAAGGAACATTGTCTAGTCGTTTGGATGGGACGAAATTTCATTTCAATTCATTTCATTTACAGCCAAGAAGTGCTATAGTTTGAAAGTATTCTGATGGCCCGTTGGTAAAAAGGTGATGGCTTTTTCGAGGAAATATATTTAAGTACAATGGGGAGAGATTTTTATATTGTGTCAAGTTTTTCACATTTACTAAATTATTATTAGTACAAGTTAAACACAATCTGATTAAAACACCAAGCCTTTTTAGTTTCGTATTCTATAGTTCAAAATTTCGAAAGTATAAACAAACAAAACGAAATATAGATAATGTCTCGTCAACACCACAATAATTCAGTCATTATGAGACTAAAATGGGTTTAACTTAATATACTATGTATAGGAAATGAAAGGAAATGAAATGGGGTTTAACGTCCAACTGTTTTGCTCAGAACTGGGCTAATGAAGACGGGCATACGCCATACAGTGTGCTATGAGGGAAATTTTGCCCAGACAGCGGCACTACGGCCTACTCTTATATCGAATTCCAACTGTCAAGGGATCTTTTACGTGCACGCCAATGTGTACACGGGACCTCGGTTTTTCGTCTCATGCGAATGACTAGACGGCTGTCCTTGTCAGGCACTATGTATAGGACTTCCAACAACACGGCAACCAGGTATAACCTAATAGGAGAGTTGGATGGCCGCGAATGGTTAGCACGTGCGGGTTGAACCAAATGTCTGTCATTGAGTCAACTGGCGTGGTTTCGATTCCCCGGTTGTACGTGACAAGGGGTAGGGTCGCCTGTCCAACCTCTCGTGGGTTTTCTCCGGGACCCGAAATGACCTAGTTTGTGCCGAGTGGACGTTAAACCCCATTTCTCTCTCGCTATAACCAAAAAAAAAAGTTAAATTCATAGATCGGTCCCTCAAATAAAAAGTTAACCTTTCATAATCAGTAGATGGATGTTGATAAATCATATTGACATCACAACCTGAACACATTGTTGGTGCATACTGACATGTAAAATAACAAAAGTACTAGCGATTGTCGCCGACAAGTCGGCAAGGGGTTATTGTGATATATTGTTACCCCCAATAAATTATATTGTCTTTTTAAAAGAAATCGAGATCACATTATTGTAACTATTTCTGAAACCTTCGACGATTATTTATCGGCCAAAAACTGATATTCTCATTGTGCGTTTTTGTCGTATGTTTTGCGTTATGACCTAAGTGTGGGTGGTTTTATGGACGTTGTCATTATTCACCAGTCCTGTGTCCAGGTCAGGCTCGGTATTCATTTCGACCTGGTACATGTCGTTCTTCACCTACTGAATAAGCCATCGTTATAGTAAAAGTCTTACAACAAAGACTATAGAGGCCGTGTTCAAGAAAATTTACAATAAACCATTTTAAGGATGCAGATATTTCATTGCTGGAGGGTCAAAATCCCGGTACAAATTTTAGCTCTTATCCAATGAACGAACAGAATTCTTAAAATACGTTTTCTTGAAGAAGTCCCAACTCCTATATCCTATATATTACACAATAAGCCAGGGTCACAATTATCATAAATTATAAATACAAATAAAACGGTTATAAAAGTTGATAAAATGTTTCCCTAACACAGAGTTACATAAAAAAAAACAACGAACAAAAGTAGTTAAGCAATGGGATAAATCAATTCGGTCTGTCATAAATGAATTATTATGTGGTTGGGCGTCTTCTATATCTCCACTAACTAGACTAATGAAGGGGGATATACATCATAAAGTGTGCTGGGGGGGGGGGGGATTTTACCCAGACAGCGTTGCTTCGCCCACTCTTCATTGAATTGTGCAGGGTTCTTTTACGTGCACACGGAACACCGAGTATCTACGGTTATATTCTGGTTTTATTCTCTTTAAAGGGGCATTAAGGGAGATTAGATAAAGAGCTGACAGTTCTCCTTATAATAGTTAAAAATTAGATAACGTGAAGAGAATTTGCCGAAACTTTCAGTCATGTTGCTCCACTCTGAACCGAGATATTATCGATTGAATTTTAGGCCTGGTCTCGATCATCATTACTAAAGTCGGTACGATAAAAAACAAATTGTCGATTATCCATTTTTACGTTAAATCATCCATCACAAAATGTATTCGAATCCAATAAATATCGCAGCCTAGCGATGGCATCGAGAGTTGATTATGGTGTGGATAAGTTAATTAATGTCTAATTAATAGGCAGATTTAGCTCTTGCATAATATTTAATTAAATGGGTGTTCGATCCCTGCATTGGCCGAGAAAGTTCATCCAGATATTCAGGGATGCAGGATAGATGTCTAGTCTTTTGGATTGGACGAAAAACCGAGGCCCCGTGTACACATTGGCGTACACGTAAAAGATCCCTTGACAGTTGGAATTTGATATAAGAGTAGGCCGTAGTGCCGATGTCCGGGCAAAATGTCCCTCATAGCACATTGTATGGTGTATGCCCGTCTTCATTAATCCAATTCGGAGCAGAACAGTAGGACGTTAAATCCCAATTCATTTCATTTCATTTTATTAAATGTTAAATAATCAATTTGTGTAAAATAAGATAGACATAGATAACGATCAAAGGCTTTAAATTTGACTGTTTAAAGGGAGGAATGTCATCACAGTGTCATATGACTCTCTTTTGTTTCATCACGCGGTGACAGGTTAAAAGTTAAAAGTTAGCTGTCCATCAAACTGTGACATGTATTTTGTGACTTTAAAGCGAATCTAACGTATTCATCATGGTTCCCATTTTATTTCATCTTATCAAAATTATTACGCAAGAATTAAATATATATTATAATTAATATACAACTGCGAAGTGACGTCGTTAACGCTATCTTGGAATTGTGAAGTGTTATAAAAAAAAGATTCCGCCAATTGAAGACCGACAATCTATGTACAGTTGTCCAAAGAACTAAAATGTAAAGTTTCATGTATATCTTACTCGAATTGACAGCGCATTTGACGATATGTCTGATTACGAACGAATCGATATGAAACGAATTAAATATAGTGACGTCGTAACAGCCATCTTGGAATTGTGACGTGTTATTAAAAAAAATCCGCCAATTGAAGACGTCAATCTATGCACAGTTGTCCAAATAACTAGAATGTAAAGTTTCATCTATATCTGACAGCGAACTGACAGCGCATTTGACGATATGTCTGATTACGAACGAATCGATATGAAACGAATTAAATATACGACTGAGAAGTGACGTCGTAACAGCCATCTTGGAATCGTGACGTGTTAAAAAAAATCCGTCAATTGCAGACCGTCAATCGATGCGCAGTTGTCCAAAGCACTAAAATGTAAAGTTTCATGTAAACCCTACTCGAATTGACAGCGCATTTGGCGATTTGCTTGATTACGAACGATTCGATATGAAACGAAATAAATTGAAATCACGATTAGGCATATGAAGACATTCATACGCCATAGAGTACGCTAAATTTGTCCCGCACAGCACAGCAACACTATGATGTACCCGTATGGTACATCAGCACTATGGTCTACTCTTATTTCGAATTGGGGTTAGTAGGGAAAATGTTTGGGTAAGAGGTAAGTCATCTTAACCTTGACCTAGAAATCTCAATAAATTTGATTTTTCGTATGGGCATGACCTCTCCTGGCCCCACGTCCCCCACCCCCAACCTGCAAGGTCCCCTTCTCACTCAGTCTGAAAATAAACAATACCAGCTTCGTAAAAGAATTCTGGACAGTTGGAATTCGATGAAGAGTAGACCGATAAGCCACTACCCGGGCAAAATTACCTAAAATTACCTGAAACATAATGTTCTTAACCTTCACTAATTAGTAGGATCCACGGTGGTCAAGTGGGTAAGACGCTAGCTCGCTAGTCTGGAGGTCGGGTGTTCGATCCCTGCATTGGCCGAGAAAGTTCATCCAGATTTTCCGGCGTGGTTTCCCCTTGTCAGTGATGCAGGGCGGAGGGCCTGACAAGGACAGCTGTCTAGTCCTTCGGATGGGACGAAAAACCGAAGCCCCGTGTACATATTGGCGTGCACGTAAAAGATCCCTTGGCAGTTGGAATTCGATATAAGCGTAGGCCGTAGTGCCGCTGCTCGGGCAAAATTTCCCTCATAGCACACTGTATGGCGTATGCCCGTCTTCGTTAGCCCAGTTTAGGAGCAGAACAGTAGGACGTTAAACTCCATTTCATTTCATTTCATTTCAATACTTCCTGTAATGTTTATATGTGCATGTGCTGTGCTATGCAATGCGTGGTGGTGGTGGGGGGGGGGTCTGGCTGAATAGTTAACATTTCATTTCAGCAATTACCCTTTTCATTTAAATTCATATCTCCTTCGGTACAAACCGTCCTTAACCACCTATAAATAGCAATTACATATTTGACGTTTTGATTGGGTATTTTAACAACAATGATAGATTGTACATAACCCAACAAACGAAATCTTTAACAAAAATATTTTGAGAAAAAAATTCCCAGCAAGTGTAGCAAGTTAAACACAATTATCTACAAACAAAAACTGCCTGGGAAAATACAGTTTCATGCAATTAGAAATCGATCAGTACAAATTAACAGGGATTAAAATTTGAAATATTTACGATTTATCAAAATTATTTTTTTAAATTTGTATAATTATAGCTTTTAAAAACAGATATGACATTGTTTGTTTGTAATCAGCAGACATCATTTATCATGTCTTTCTATTTTAGTCTTTTTACGTAATATGTCATAAACTTTTTGTCTGCTTATATATCAGTTGGAAAAAAAAAAACGCCTCCAGAAATACAGCGTCTTTGTACTTCTAGCAATATTATTTATGGTAGCCGCGGTGGCTTGGTGACTACGGC